AGCCTGCAAGTCACTCCTGCCCCTCTCACAGAAACCGCGCCGCGAGAAATAAAGATTGGAAAACGCCAGGTTCCGCGCACTCCACCCGGGCGAGGCCAATCAGAAGCCCAGGCGTAGGCGGCGTGGGCACTCGCGTACCTGGAAGCGGCGGGTGGCGTCCTCCTTGCCGCTCTCGCCCACCCGGTCCGGGTGTACCTGCAGGGACACCTTGTGGTAGCCGCGTCGGACCTCGCCGTCCGAGGCCTCACGCCGCACACCCAACACTTGGTAAAGGTCGGCTGTGCCGAACACTTCCTCGCACAGCTCCAGCAGCCCCATGGCTGGCAGAGGTGCGGAGCTGACGGCGGACTCCACGAAAAAAGCGGACCTCAGGGACACTGGCTAGAAGTCCAAACTGCTTCCCTTTTCCCGCGCAAAACCCCGAGGCGCCTGCGTCACAATAGTCGCGGCCACGACGCCGCACTTTACGGCGGCTGCAAAGTGGGGCGTGGAAAAGCTAGCGTCTGCCAGGGTTGAAGTCGAGTAGAGCGAGCAGTGGTGCGGGAGCCTCCTTCGGCTGGGAACGGAACTAGTCCGGTAGCCTCCACGCCCCACCCCCCCAGGCTCTCCTCCGCGTACTGGGGAACTCTGGCGTCTCGCTTCTCCTCCATGTCCCTGCGCAGAGCCTTTTTCAGTAATACATGGAATGTCCATATTAGGCTGAACCTATACATTGCTTTTTTTTTTTTTTTTAAGTAAAAACAGCATAACAGCGACATTTGGCAATTTCACGTGGTTCATATACATGTTTATTTCAAAAGAACATTGGTTAAATAGATTTGTTCTTTCTCAGAGATGATCCTGATGAGAGGACATAGAGCTCTAAGGCCCAAATAATTTTGCAACCTACGGGGTGGGTCTGCTGGTAGGTTCTTTCCCCTGAGCCCTACCAGAAAAAAAATATATTAAACAAAAAGCACAAAACACCGGTCTTTAAAAAAAATTTTATCTGATAGGATTCGTAGGTTTGACATTTATTACAGAATCACGCCTATTCACCTCCTGAATCACCTTCAACCTTCATCTTAATAATATATGCTGCCAAAGCAAAAGTTGTTTGTTACTGTTGTTAATGCTTTCTAAAGTGCAGAGATGACTTTTGAGTATGTTAGATTTGAAGGTGGTAGCAGGACAGGCTGATGTAATCATCCAAGACATAGTGAGACTAGAGAAAACTTTGGAAATCAGGGAAAGGATGAGCTCACAAAGGAAAATAAGTGTATACAGATCTTGGACAAAGGACAGAGAAGGTGACAAAGTGAATACCTAAGTTAGCAGAAACTCAGTACCTCAAAATAATATCTTACCTTAACCTATTTCACATCAGTTCCCCTCATTGATCAATACTTTTCAGAATCACATTCTCTCCTGCTCTACCAATTAAAGCTTCTCCCAAGACCTAAACTCTCTGGGGTAGTATCTTTTAAATTTACAGAGTTCTTGTTTTCAAATTATTTTGCTTTCCCATATCCAGGATCAAACCCAAATAAAGTCAGTTCCTCTCCGCCTGCACTGCCTTCAAAGTCCCACAAAGAAAGGGAGGCCAATCAGTAACAACCCTGGTGGAGCCTTGATAACACCCAGAATTTGAGGTGGCTGCTCACTATTCTCGGAATATAAAACCCAGAGAATAAAATAAGTTGGTATATTGATAGGGCTTTAGAATCACCTCTATAAATCTACATCCTAGCCTTATGCCAGAATTTGAAATCTGTATTATCTACAGTGTACATTAAAACCACCTAATCCATGCCTGTGATTATAATATCCTGAGGTTAGGGTGAAGCAGATAATGGGATTTTTTTTTTTTTTTTTGCACAGCCAGTCATTTATATTACCAAATTCATGATACCTAAACCCAATTCTATCATTGACTTTTTAAGTGGACATTTGAAAAGCCCTTCACATTTGCTCATTTCCCCGCCCAGCTACAGATAATACATGTTGAAAAGGGCTCTCCAGGTAGGCATATCGGGATCTAAATTTTAGCTTTGCCAACATTAAAACTGTGGCCATGGGCAAATTCTCACCTCTGAACCTGAGCTTACTGGTCTATAAAATAGAAATAATCCTACCTGTTTTCATGATACCTTATGTCTCGCAAATAACCTTGCATGTAAAGGGCCTAGATGTACAAAGATACTTTACAATATTAGCTTTCTTCCAGTTTCTATTCTTAAAAATAGACCATTACAGCCCCCAAAACTTATAAGTAATCTAACTTTGTAAATTATGTTATGCAAGGCAATATAAATCTGCAATTACAAATATAACAAAGTAATTGTGTTCTTGATCTGGTGCGATGGCCCTAAATGATTAAGGAAGGAATTACTTGGATGGGTCATGGTTAGTGGTTTTGAAGCACAGAAGTCTTGGAAGGCAGCAGACTGTAAAGCTGTCCAACTCAAAAGTCCAACCCATCCCACGGCCACTGTGTTTTTCCAGATGAAGGCTAAAGAAGCTAATTAGTACCTACACCCAGCTCTGTAATCGATAAGAACAAATTTTTCCCAGGGCCCTGCTCAGGCCAGGCCAAAAGAGCATGAGTAACATAGAAAATTCCATTTATTGACCTATAAGTCTAACAAAACTATAAACTCTGCACAAGTGTTTTAAGAGGACTTTGACCTTGTCTCCACTGCTATGCTCATTGAAGTCAGCTTGCTTTTGTTTCTGCAGCCTCTGTATCTGTTTTCTGAGATGCTAAGAGGATCTCACGTGCCCGTTTCCGTCGCAGTCTCTCAGCATTTGTGATCATCATGGGATGCAAGGGGAAAAAGCCAGAAAGACCTAAAAGCAATAGGATTTTCATTCATTATAACACAGTACAAGCAAATGTTTCTTGGGGATCTCAGCCTCACAGAACTGAAGTCTAACAGAGACCTGACGTATAGAATGGATTTAAAACATGCTCTTCACTTTCCATACTGTGTTACCTCTTCCCCCAACTCCCTCCCCTCCATTTACTACATGACGACAATTGATGTTGTCAACCTTCTAACAATATTTCCCTTACTAGAAAAAAAGATAAACTGACAGACAGCCATTCAAGACACACTATTCCCATTTTTAGCATAAAATCTCGTCACCCAAAAAGGCTCATAAAGGAGTCCACAAAAGGGGTCTCCAGATTAGATCACAACTTCACTTCTCACTCCAGTCCCGAGCAGCCTAGAAGTAATAAAAATCATTCTTAATTCTCATCACCCTGGAACTGACTTCAGTTTAAAATCCCCTCAATGAGGTATGGCTAGAGCCGAGTTACCCAGCAGCTTTTCCACAGGTTTAGAGAGGTGGGCCCCACAGCCAATCCAATGCCGGATACGGTCCAGGTTGAGAGCAACGAGTTTCTCTCCATGAGTGTTAGGCAGTGGATCATAGGAGCCAAGCTGCTCCACAAAACGGCAATCCCTGGGACACTTGTTGTGAGCAGCAACGATGCGATAGAAAGGCCGGTTGGTACAGCCACTTAGGGCAAGACGGATGGTTAAGTGGCCTCGCTGGTAGGACTTGCAGAGGACAGTAGCTGCAGAGAAATAAGTGGTTCAGACAGAAGAATCGAGGACACAAAATGGACAAAGTGAGGTAGATGAAACAATCCCTTTTCTCCAGAGAAATGTCCTTACTTCCAACTAAATCTTGTCAATCTGGCTTAGATACCTTCGTCTTTGTTAAATTCCTCTTATGCGCTCCAGCTAGAAATGGCTTCCTCTTCATCTCCCAATCCACTCAGCACAAGCCTGCCATTTACTAGCTCTGTGATCAGGTAACAGCCTCAGCTGTCTTCAGCGATAAAATGAATGCCATTTATCTCATAGGCTTTCAAGGTGGGTTAAGTGAGAAAAACTGAAGGGATACTAAACGTAAGGCACTGTGGCTGTTTCAAGTTTGGGTTGCCTCCACCTGGCCTAGGAAAGCGCTGCTCCGCACGGTCCCATGTCCCCCTAGTTCCCGTGACAGCCCCGAAGGTCTGTCAGGGCCCCTCTCACTCACTGAGGTGAACCATGGTGTAGCCGGCGTGCGCCAAGGCCTGTTACCACTTGCGGCGCCGCAGAGCGTCCCGCCGCCCGCAAGGATCGCCTCGCGCGGGATAGAGGACGGACGCGGAGGGTCTACGCTGCCGAAACGGGACCCTGACGCGACCGGTAGCCAAGACGAAGGTCCTCCGAGCTGGAAGAAAATCGCCTACTAGCCCCGCCCCTTCCATTTTCCGCACTCCATTTCCCACAATGCAACACGGTGAACCCTGACGTACCTTACTTAAACTGCCGCAAAACAGACGCGCTAGTGTTTGTGTATGCCAGAGATAGCCGTGCAGGCCGAACCCTGGGAGTGCTTCCGCCTTTTATTAGCCTGTCAGTCCGTGGTGGGGTGAGGAGTATTGGGAAGCGTCGAACTGCTCCACAAATCCATCCTTTCAGCAAATGTTTTTTGAGTACCTATTAGGCCAACGCGCAGTGCTGAGAACGCAGAGATGAAAGGGCCCTGTCGCTGCCTGCAGGAAGCTCACAGTGTGGTAGGGAGACGGTGAGGTTACACCAGAGTAACTAGGGGTGGTCAGTACACAGTCCTGGGGAAGCAGAGGAGAAGCCGAACCTGATATTTCCTTGGTGCCTCCGGAAGACTTCATAAAGGAGATATAGTTAGGGCCGACTGGAAAAGGGCTACAAATGATATAGAGTTTCCTAATATGTCTCCTGTTCTCTCCACCTCCTCCTCTGAAAAATAAGGAGGGAGAGCCTTATTCCTAGTTTTGCTGTGCAGTGATCTAGGACGACAGGGGTTCCTTGTTATCTTTAGCCCTAGCATAATGGCCTCAGTTGTCAGGAGTTTTGCATCTATTATAGGGTAATGGACTCTTCGTGTAGCCCTTGTGTTTTAGATCCGTTAAGATGCCCGTGGGTCAGAGGGAGTCGGTACTTCCAACTTAAGTAAAGACCTTTCTAGTTCTCTGTTCATCGTTGGATCCAAAGTTCTGGCCACAATAGGCGCTTTGCCCTAATACAGTGACCCAGCATACCTTTCTTCCTTTAGTTCCACCTTAGAAAATGATGCCTTAATTCCCAAGTCCCAGTAAGTGAACCTGGGCAGGGACCTTAGCAGTTGACTTCCTCCAGGACTGATCCTAATTAACTTTGACCAGAAACCCTAATAATGACCCCACTATACCTTAATTTTATATATATTTCCTTACTTATTTATACCTTAGTATACCTTAACTCCAGAACCACGCTGATGAATTTTGAATCTCATTTCCAATTTGTATTGTCATCCAGTTTACTGTGAACTAGTCAAAGAACCATAACAGCCATCCAGTAAGATAGCCAATGGAAATAAATGAATGGGTTTTTATTTATGGCGAAGAGTCTTTTGTTCTCCATCCTAAGGTCTCATGTGGTGAAGCATCCAGAGTTTAATTCTTCTGGGAAGGAAAAGAACTCAGAAAATTCTTCAGCTGGAAGGCTGTCAGAAAGATGGATTGCCAAAGCCAACCAATTCCTGTACCATGTGGATCTCTGCAAGCAGAGCCTCATCTTTCAATTTCAGCTGCAAGAGAGGAAGGAAGGAAGGGGACACATGTCATAGCTGATATACTTATGTGGAGACCCCTCATTTGTGGGGCCACAGCTAAAGAACATAGTTCCTTGGAGTGGAATTGGCTATATTCCCTATTTCATGTAACTTCTATTAAAAGACCTCAGAACATTGTGCTGGTTACATGGATATGTTCACTTTAAGAAAATTCATCAGAACATTCACAGTTTGCATTTTTTATACAATAACTTTATAAAGTTTATTTTTAAAACATTCATGTTATCACCCAATATATCTTGATTAATATAAACTATCCTTATTTGGCAAGTGATGGAAAGGAATCAAAGACATTAGACCTGAATTTAATTTTAGAATCTAGATGGGTAGTAGAGACATCTAGTTGCCTACTAAATACCCTGTCTCTCCTTTAAAACTAAAAAAAAAAAAATTCTTTGCCATATAGCAATGCAGCCAACTAAAAAGCCACATTTCCTGATTCCCTTGCAACTAGGGGTAGTCTTAAGACCAATGTGGCCAATGAAATGCAAGTTATAGTCATTGTTCATTAAAGGGAGGTGAAATATTATGACTTTTTGTCCTTTCCCCTCTTTTGTTTTTATTGTGTCTGAAACATGATTATGATGGCTGGAACTACAATGGCTGTCTTTCAACTATAAGGGATGGAGCACAAAGATAGAGTTTGGGTCTCTGATGACATTGTGGAGCTGTTGTACCAGCCCTGGACTCTTCAGTTGATGAGAAAAATAAAACTCCTAATTTGTTTAAGCCACTGTCTTTTCAAGTCAAATTACTTAAAATTCATAACTGATAGAATAGACTAGGGGTTGGCAAACCACTGCTTAAGAGCCAAATCCAGCACTCTATTTTTGTAAGCAAAGTTTTATTTGAAACAACCATGCTCATTTGTTTTTTGTATTATCTATGGCTCTCTTTCACTGCAAGGGCAGAGTGTAGTAGTTGCGATCAAGACCATTTTGCCCACAAAGCCGAAAATATTTCCATTTTGCCCTTTACAGAAAAAGTTTGTTGACTCCTGCACTAGACTACTACCTTTATTTTACACATGAGGAAAATGAGGCCCAGAGGTTAACATAGTAAGTTAATTGCAAAAGTAGGAGCATAAGTCAGTTCTAACTACCGACTTCCAGGCCATCTGACTTTCCATTAAGCTGTATTCTCTATCAAGAGGTATAAAAAAGATCCCCCATGGTAATATGTGGGTTATTATTCCAAACTCAGCAGCCCCATGATAATTGCATAATGGTGAGAAAAGCCTCTAGAAAATTATTCACATCATGATGTGCTTGTAAAGTCCTGAATTAAGCAAATAACCTTCCTCTCAGTGTCCCAACCTGGAACAGTGTAGAAAAACAGTGGAGGCATCTGCATCATACCTTCATTGTGTACTTGTAGGCTTGCTCAGCTTCCAATTGCCGTCCAGCCTGAAAAAAAGAGCAGCTGGTGATGATCATATATCGTAAACATTATGGTGGGAAAGTACATTGCCGCAAACATTTCTACCTAAAGCAGAGGATTCCAAACCTTAGTTAAGAAACTAAATTCAAAGGCGAAGCAGGAAAATGAACTGTGGTAGGGAAAAGCATATATATATCCCTCCTTCATTTCGAAAAGCTTAAGGATAACCTGGCCTTTTTTTGCTTCTCAGGATTGAAGCCATTCTGTTAATACTAATAATAGCTAACACTCATATGATAGTTACTTTGTAGTTTACATTGTTTTATTTGTTTTACATTGTTTTAAGTGCTTTACATACTTTCATTCTTCGTCCTCAAGACAACCCTAGGAGATATCTGTTTATAATTCCCAGTTATAGATAGAAAAACCTAGGCACAGAAAGGATAAATATCTTGCCAGGGTTATGAAGCTAATAAGGGGAGGAGCTAGGTTTTAAAACAATGCAGTCTGGCACCCAAGTCTTTTTACCTTTATCTTGTCTCTATGTATTAGAAAAAGCAGATAACGGAATTTCTTTCATGTAGATCTGGATATGAGATGAGACAATTACTACTCCAGTTACTCCTTACATGAAGGAGTTAAATGAAAATAATATGAATTTACTATTATATTTCACAAGTTTGTGCATAACAGATTAGAGTATGCAGAGTCACTTGGGCAAGCTTAAATACATAAATATGAGAACCACAAAATGTTCAAGCTAGAAGGGAACTTAGAGAATATCTAGTTCAATTTCCTGATCAGTGTTAGTCCATGGTAAATTTTTACTAGTTCACAAAGTTTCATTACCCAAAAAACTTTCCTATAATATCTACACTTTGAAGTCTTCCCACCTGAAGTTCACTGAATTCCAGGGGCACTTTCCAGCACATCTTTCTTTCCTGTCACTATTACCTTTTACTTCTACCTTAGGAAGGCAGAGGCCCAAGTGATGTGAGGATCCAGAATAGCCAAAATAATTTTGAAAAAAAAGATAATTTTTTTTTTGCTACTACAGAAAATGCTGCAGTAAACATTCGTATACTCCTCTTCTGGTATTTTTCTTAGGAAGGTACCTAAATATAAAGTTGCTAAGTTGTAGTCATGAATGTGACCACATAGTACCATATGCACCACAAAGTAGTTATACCAATTTGCATTCACTAGCAAATATAAAAATCCTTATAAATGTTGGTAATATCAGAATAATTTTTGCCAGCCTGATGGGCATGAATTTCTGTCACATTATTTTAAATTGCATTTTCATAATTACTAATGAGGTAGAACTTTTCCTACATTTATTGACATTTACAAGACCCACTTTGGCAAATTGTATATTTCAATCAGTTTATAGGGTTTTTCTTATTTTAGTAGCTATTTATATAATCTGGATACTAATCCTTTCTTAGTCATAAATGCTGCAAGTATTTATAACGAAGTCCTTAAGCTTTTAATGTCTTTTGTTATACATGAGTTTCTAATTTTAAAGTTGTTAATTGATTGACATTTTATTTTTACTTTGTGTTATTACATTTACAAGAAACTTTGTATACTCTGAGGGCATAGAGATGTTCTCTATATTTTCTTCTAAACAGTTTAAAGTTTTAAGATTTAGGTCTTTAACATGGAAGTTCTGCACCCTTTCCCACACCCATTGCCTTATGCGTCTCTTCCATCTGGCTGTTCCTGAGTTATAACTTTTTGTAGTAAACCAGTCATCTAATATGTTAAATAAAAAAAAAAAAAGATTTAGGTCTTTAAACCAGCTGAAATTGTGTCTGGTGTTATGAAGTAAGGAACTAATTTTTTTTTGTATGGATAGCCAGTTTCTCTACCACTATTTATTAAATAGTCCATATGTTCCTCACTTCGGGGACGAGGGAGGGCGCTATATAGTCTTTTAAAAATAGCTTTATTGAGATATACTTTACATACCACAAATTCACTAATTTTAAGGTTCAGTTGTGCAAGCATCACCACAGTCTAGTTTTATAAGATTTGTTACTCCCCAAAAGTTCCTTATGCCTATTTGCAGTCAATCCCCATTCTCACCCTCTGCCCTAGAGAACAACTGATCTGTTTTTGTCTCAGTTTTCTTAACTTCATATAAATGGAATTATATAATATGTAATCTTCTGTGCCTTGCTTTTCACTTAGCATAATGTTTTTGAGGCTCATCTGTATTGTTGCATAAATCAGATTTTCATTTTTATTGCTGAGTAGTATTCCACTTATGTTAATATTACACATTTTGTATATCCATTCACTGACAGACTTTCAGAACATTCCCAGTCTTTGGCTCTTATTAAATTCTGCAATGAAATGGGGAAATGTTTGTGTGGACATATGTCTTCACTTTTCTTGACTAGATACCAAGAAGTGAAATGGCTGGGATGGATAGTAAGTACAGGTTAACTTTTTAAAGGTCTGCCAAACAGTTTTCCAAAGTGGTTGTACTAATCTGCAACCCTGCCGGCAACAGGTGAGAGTTCCAGTTTCTCTATATCCTTGTCAATACTTGGTATTGTCAGTCTTTTTGATTTAAGCTGTTATAGTGGGTGTGCACTGTGGTGTTAATTTGCATTATCTTAAGGAATTATCTTTTAAATTTTTTGGCTTAATTTCAGATTAAAGAAAAGTTGCAAGAATAGTTCTCTTGTCCCTCTACACACACACACACACACAAACACACAAGTATGTATTTTAATTTTTCCTGAACCACTTGAGAGTAAATTGGAGACCTGATACAATTTGACTTCAGTATGTGTTTTCTAAAATTAAGGACATTCTCTTACATAATACAGTACAACTATCAAAATCAGGAGATTAGTATAAATACAATACTATTATCTATCTATAGATCTCATTGTGATTTTTCCAAATATCCCAGTGTCTTTTACAACAAAAGAAAATCCAGGATCATGCCTTGCATTCAGTATTCATGTCTTCAGTTTCTTTTAGTCTGGAACAATTCTTAAGATTTTATGTTTCATGACATTAGCATTTCAGAAGAGTATAGGAGAGTTATTTTGTAAGATATTCCACAATTTTTATCTGATTTTTCTTCATTTCAGGTTAGAATTTTTAGCAGGAATACCACAAAAATGATATGTTCTCCTCAGTGCATCCTATTAAGAGACATATATTTATCCCAATACTGATGATGGAAACTTTGATCTTTTGTTTAGATTATTATTGGTCAGGTTTTTCTACTATAACATTATTCTGTTCCCCTTTGCAATAAATATCTGTAGGGATATACTTTGATCTATGTAAATATCTTCTTACTCCTTAAACATTCAGCTATAGTTTCAGCATACATTGATGACTGTTCCCTGAATTAATTATAATTATGGTGGTTTACAAACGGTGATTTTCTAATTCCATGATTCCTTATACATTTAACAGTTGGCCTTCTACTGTAAGCTTTCCTCTTCTACAATTATTTGTTTAATTATATCACTGTGGGCTCATAGTTTCTCATTTGTAGTCCTTAACTATAATTATTTATTTTGATGTCCAAATTGTCCCACATAGGGCCAGTAGGGCCCCCGCTTTAAGCTAGTTCCTTTGTCTTTTGTTTTCCCTTGTGTGTTTTTGATATCTCAGTCTTTCTTTAAGTACTTTTTATTTTGTTTGGCCAAATATTCCAGACTCATATTATATTTCCCTGTCCCAGTTCTAAAGTCAGCCATTTTCCAAGGAGCCTCTGATTCCTTTATTTCCTTTAAATTGGACAAATGCCCTACTTCTTTTTCATGAATTTAGAAACCAAGTCCTTAGCACTAGGTGTACTCATGCCCCCACCGCTTTATGTATGTTCTACATATATATATGTATATGTACATATACATATATGTAAAATCTATCAAATCATGAGCTCATATCGGAATCTCCAATTCTAATTCATCACTACAAGGTCATTTCATCTTCTCTGTTTCCACGTTTATAACTTCTCTGATAGTGAGAAACTTGGCTCCTAGTATCCATAATTACTTATTTGGTAAATCACAGAATACTTAGTAATTTCATAACTGCTAACTCGTGACTCTGCAAAAAAGACTACTAACTAGAGTCCAATTTTGTACAGAGGTTTTAAGTATCTTGAGTTAGTTCTTTTTCATACCTTCAGTGTTATTGTTATGTGTTTTTCTTTGTTTATGATATGAATTATACGATCTCTCCATTTCTTGTTGATTTTATTTTAAAAATATATGAAACATTAATATGGTACCAAAAGCCAGATCTGTACAAAAAAGTACAATTAGAGAGCATTACCCTTTCATTCCCTCCCTTCCTCAGACATTATGCCTGCCCATGTCCTATAGGACCCACTCTAGGTAATCTTTGATTTTTCCTTCCTTACTTTTTTTACATAAATGAGCAAATCTGCATGTAATTTTTTTCCTTATTTCTTATACAAAAGGTGCTATTTTATATAAAACCTTGCACTAATGTGAACTTTAGGATTATTTTATTAAGTTCCTTAAAAACTGTGATTTTATAAAAATTTAATTAAAATTAAATATTTGGGGAAAATTTTCATCTTTATGTTATTGAAACTTCCTGTCCTTGAACATGGTATCTCTATCAGATCTTCTTATATGCCAGTTAATAAAGTTTTATAATTTTATCTAACAGGTCTTGACTGTGACTTTTTAAAATTAGACTTTCAAATTGGTGTTCCTGATGATATCTGATTTTGATGATATTTTTTATATTGATCTTTTATCCAGCAACCTTACCAATTCCACTTCTGAGTTAATACTTATTTAATAGATAATATATATACATCATTAAAAAATCAAAAGGATGTAAAAAGGTATACTTTAAGATGTCTTACTTCCATCCTGACCCTGTCTACTCTGTTCCCCAACGCCTTCCCCCACCACTAACCATCATTACTCATTTTCGTCTACCCTTTAAGTATTGAAACTTTTTTTACATCTTTCAGTTTGTTTGTATATTTTCTTGGTTCCTTCCTAATCTTTTTCCTCCATTTTCTTTTCTGTGTGTAGGTGTGTTATTGCCTTGGTGGAACTTCCAGTATAGTGTTGAGTAAAAATGAGAATGATGATAGCAAGTATCCTTGTCTTGTTCCCAACTCAAAAGAAATTTTATATAATAGTATAGATTTTAGAAGATACATTTTCAGATTTTAAAAAAGCTAGTTTGCTTGACTTTCAGAAGTCATGAATGAGTTGAATTTTAGACAAAAATTTCCTTAAGTACAGTCTCTATTTTGTTGTAATATTCATGATTTGTGCCTTCTCTCTTTTTAAACAGTCTTAATCAGTTATGTCAGAGGTTTGTCTATTTACCAATCTTACCAAAAAAAGCAGTTTATGATTTTGTTAATCCTCTCTATCATGTCCTTGTTTTGTTTACTAAAAAAACTTTGTTTCTTAAATAAACATATATATTTTTTACTTTTCAATTACAGTTGACATTCAATTATTTTAGTTTCAGGTGTACAGCATAGTGGCTACATACTTATATAACCTGCAAAGTGATCACCTTGATTAGTACCCACCTGGCACCATACATGTTTATTATAATATTATTGACTATATTCCCAATGCTGTACTTAACATTCTGTGACTATTTTGTAACTACCAATTTGTACTTCTTAATACCTTCACCTTTGTCACCCAGCCTACCAACCTCCCTTCCATCTGGCAACCATCAGTTTGTTCTCTGTATCTATGAGTCTGTTTCTGTTTGTTAATTTATTTTGTTCTTTGGATCCCACATATAAGTGATATCATATGGTATTTGTCTTTCTCTGAATTATTTCACTTAGCATAATACCCTCTAGGCCCATCCATGTTGTCACAAATGGTAAGATTTCATTCTTTTTTATGGATAATATTCTATTGTATATATGTACCGCCACTTCTTTATCACAAACGCCCACAATACTCTCCATCTAATTTCCCATCTATATCAAGGATAAGCACCCTGACAGCAGTTCAACAGGAAGGAGTGATTTAGAAAGACTAGTAGAGCATCTCCTTCACTGGTATTTGACTTTGTTTACATTCTGATATAATAACACTCCCATTTAAAATTTTTATTCTTTTTTTGAAATGAAAACTAATAAAAAAGGAACTGAGGAATAAGATCATTAAATGTAACTAAATACATTTTAAATATAAATACCATGTATTTCCTAATTAGTATCAGGTAACTATCTAAACTATCCCAAATTCTAGTCTCAAAGAAAAACTCAGACAATTACAAAGAAGATGCTTTATAGTATCAGGTCCATTTTTAAAACAATGAGATCTTTTGGGAAAATCACTTTAGTCTGTCGGAGACATCTATTGGTCCTTTGTTGGTAATCCATTTATATCTGTACCCTTATAGCCTACTTTGCCTTTATTTTATAATTGGACTCTTACATAGCTTTTCTAGGCCATATATAACTTACAAAAGGGGAAATTAAGGGGTATATATGTGGCTCCAGTAATTTTTTTGTAGATCCAGAGCATAATTGGAATGACTTATACAAGGATCGCTCACCATTGCCCCAGGCTTGAGCTCCTAAGTGCGGGAAGAGGCACCCAGGAGAGCAAAAGGAGAACCACTCACCACCCCCAAGTCTAATCTGCCATCGGACTGCGCTGTCAGTCGCTACCCTTGCACAGCTCTCCATTCAGTGTCCATAACCCCAACCCTAGGCCAGGCTCTGATACCTACATCCTCCTTCATCTTGAGGCAGGGCATGCATTGGGCTGGGCTTGGTTAGCACAATCTGGGCTGGGCCTGTAGCATAGCTCAAAGGTGCTGCAGGGAGCCCACCCCTCCTAGAACCCCGGACGGCAGTTTGCTCTGGCCCACCCCACTCCCATGCACCCATGACCACCAAGCCCAAATGGCTCACTCCCATTTTTAGAATTTCCTTTTCAGACAAACACACCTGAGTAAATTATTTTAAAGCATATTCCAAGTCAAGGCTTCCCAGACTCAGCCCCTCCTTCATCATTTATATATTGACAAAATCTGAATACCATCAAACCTTAAATATCATACATTAATGGCTATCCTGCTGTCTCTTGCTTTACTTGGTCTCTCACCTTTTGCCCTAAAAGGCCATTGTGTAAGGATAGTAAACACTCACTTTCAGGCTGACCAAGGCCAGATATGCCCATACTTCAGCATTGTAATTGCTCAATGCATTGGCTTCAGAGAGAGCATCTTCCGCCTCAGTAATCTCCTCCAGCTTGACAAAAAAGAAGACATGTGAGTTAAGTCAATGTTGTTTTCACTTAAGTCAGCTGGAGTCAGCTTAGCTGAAAACACTACTTCCAAATAACATTGGTCCTGTACATGACCATACCAACATTTTTCAACTTTTTGGTTTTTAGTAGAACTTTTTCTTCAAACAAAATCTTATGTGGTGGCCCAATATATGAACCAGTTAAAAGTAGAACTGCTCTGATTAAAAAGTCAGGTGGGGGAATCTGGAATCCTCTCTGCTAGGCTCTCAACTTATACCCCTCTCTTCGTCCTTCCCTCTACAGAAGTCCCAAAGGCATCCACGAACCATCAAGCTTCAGATGGCACACTGTTGTGCATCATTCAGTGATTTCCCCATATGCAATGGCTGTCAGATACATTTGTAGTTTTTTCCTTTACATCATGAATCCCTTTCTTAAGGTTAAAGTCCTATGCGCCTGTCAAAATACTGTTGTTCAGAAAGCTTTCTTTCCCCTAAAGTTAGTTAACAGCACAATCTTGAGCAATCAATACAATCGTCAGAGACTCTAGGGTGCTTCCTGAGCTCTGGTTACATGGATATCATAGCTGCTTTCTAAAACTGTGAGTTTGCTTTGTTAAATCTTCAAAAGACCACCTAAGGAAACAATAAGGCACTCTTCCCCAATAAAGTAGCTCTTCATTTTTTTCTATTTTAGAAAATAATAGGTTTCTAGGCTCGACAATATGAAGAATGGCTTTTCAGCAATGCCCATACCTAGGCCTACACTTTATTTTTTTTTAGGCGAGGTAACCTTTGGTTGACCTCACAGATTGCAAGGACCTTGTCAGCTTACAATCCTTTATTTTTTTATTTTTCATGCCTACAGCCCCTGATCTTCCTAGGTGGTCTCCCATCCAAGTACTAATCAGATCCAACCCTGCTTAGCTTCTGAGATCAGACGGGATCGGGCTTGTTCAGGGTAGCATGGCCATAGACCTTGGTCTACACTTTAAATGTCTCTGAGATATTGATTCATTGTCCTTAGCAAATCAGCCTGTATTTGCTAAGGAATTAATGTGTCAGGCAGTATTCTAGATACTGGGAATAAAAAGGTAAAATACAACTCCTGCCCTCAAAGAGTTCACTGACAGATATGTTTTTAGAAAAAAGGAAAAATAAAACTCACACATATAAATAGTTCCAATACAGAATAAACATTTCTATAATAAAAGCATATATATGATCTAGTGGAGAGTAAAGGAAAATAATAATAATTCTACCCTGAGATTGGAGGACGGCCTCTGAGAAGAAACATTGCTAAAGTAAATCCTGAAAGATAAACAGGAGTTTGTTAGCTGCACAAGGCAAAGAAAGGAAGTCTAAATAAAAGGAATATTATATACAAAGGCATGGAGGCATAAGATAGCATGGCATGCTCAGGAATCTCAAGTATGCCTGTGTGACTGAAGAAAAGAAAGGGAGAAAAGGGAATATAAGGGAAATGATAAGACTAAAGAGTTCAGCAGAGACCAGATCATACATATTCATTCAAAGGAATCTGAATTTTATTCTGAAACAAAGGGTAGCCATTGAAGGGTTTAAGTAGGAGAGTTACCATGGTATTTGCTTATGTGTAAATGATCATATGTCCCAATTGGCCTGGACAGTCTCTGTGTCCCAGTGTAATTATTAATAACACCCTTTTCATTCTCAGAAGTGTCTTGGTTTGTATGATGAATTACACGATCACCTTATTTATGCATGAAAACCTGGGAACGCCATGTAGTCATCAAAACACATGTTTTAAGCTATTTGGTGATATGAGAAGATACCAATGCTATATAGTTAAGTAGACAAAAGATTACAAAGCAGTAAATACATTATTTACAATTTTATACACTAAAATTGCTTTCATATATATATGAAAAAAGACTGGAGAACAATGTATTCAATGTTAACAGCGATTATTACTGAGTGACAGGATTATGGATACACTTATGTCTTCTTCATATTCTGTATCTTCCAAATTTTTTATAATAAACATATATTACCTTTATGGTTAAAAAAACAGCAATGAGGAAGAGGAGACAAGAAATGTAGACAACTCTTTTGGTTAAAGGGTAACAATCAGGAAGGTTGTTGTTATCATTGTTGCTTACTAAGAAGGGGAAAGTATGGGGAAAGCTGACTGAAAAGGAAAGGTTAAAAATTTAAATCAAAGAGAAAGAAAAAATTAAGAAAGTAAGGTATTAGGAGAAAAGGAGAGGGATGGAATCAAGAATATGTGTAAAATATTAGAAAAGAACAGTGGGATGCATGCCTCTTTCAAAGATTAGAACAGAGGAAGAGGGAAGGGTGACTAGAGAGTTTTTATGGGTGGTAAATCATAAGGTCTACCAGAAGCTACAGCAGCAACTCCTGAATACAGAAGGGCCACAGAGCTTAATAAATATCAATCAATTTCTTTAATTTATTTAGGTAAATTCTTGATATCCCAGATCATGTTTTTCTTATAGATAACATCATAAAATTATGAGCATGTGTACCAAAAATCATGAAATTTTTAATTTTATAGCTTCCTGGTTCAAGTTTTCGCAGGATTTTTAAAATTAAATTTATTGGGGTATTTGGTTAATAAAATTATATAGGTTTCAAGTGTACAGTTCAATAATACATTATATGTGCATTGCATTGTGTGTTCACCACCCAAAGTGAAATCTCCTGTGGGATTTTTAAAGAATGTTTTATTTTTCTAGTTCAGATTGACCTTCAGTTTACTAAACAACTTTGAAGAGCAACTTTTCATTAGAGAAGACTTCCCTGATTACCATCCTACTGTCATTAGAAACTCCCAGAGTGCTTGGAAGATCAAGGAATCAAGGTCAGCTATATACACAGGCTTAGTCTCAAGCCCTTATCCTCTTACCCGATAACAGGCAATTCCCAGTCCTAGCCAGGTAAGGCATGAAGGCGATCTCTTACAGGCTTGCAGGTAGGTTTTCTTTGCCTTTTCATACTGCAGAAAGAAAGTACCACTAAGCTATTGTTCTTTAGGAATCTTCGAACACTGCATTGCTAGAATAATCATGGTGCTTCTTCAGTTGCACTCCAGACCAATCTAAGATAATGAGTCCTTGAGTTATATGTTTCTTTTAAACCTAATTTTTTTTGAGTTTTAGGTTCACAGCAAAATTGAGAAGAAATTACAGAGATTTCCCATATATGTACTCCATGCCCCGACACATGTATAGCCTCTCTCACTATCAAAATCCCCCACCAGAGTGGTACTTTTGTTATAATTGATGAACCTACATTGACACTTCATCATTACTCAAAGTCCATAATTTACCTTAGGGTTCACTCTTGGTGTACATTCCATGGATTTAGACAAATGTATAATGACATGTATTCCTCATTAGAGTATTTCCCTGCCCTAAAAATTCCCTGTACTTAAAAAAAAAAAAAAATTCCCCGTACTCTGTCTATTCATCATCACTCCCCTTCCCCAATCCCTGGAAACCACTGATCTCTTTACTATCACCACAGTTTTGCCTTTTATAGACTATCATGCAGTTGGAATCATGAAGCATGTAGCCCTCTCAGATTGGCTTCTTTCACTTAGTAACATTCATTTAAGGTTCCTTTGTGGTTTTTTCTTTTTCATGATTTGAGAGCTTTATTTCCTTTTAGCTCGAAGTAATATTCCATTGTCTAGATGTATTACAGGTTATCCATCCACCTACTGAAGGAAATCCTTGTTGCTTCCAAGTTTTGGCCATTATGAAAAAAGCTAATTTAAACATCCGTGTGTAGGTTTTTGTGTGGATATAAGTTTTCAACTCTTTGGGTAAATATTAAGGAGCATACTCACTGCATAGTATGGTATGAATATTTTTAGTTTTGTAAGAAATTGTCAAACTGTCATGTAAAGCAGCTGTACCATTTTGCATTCCCAACCGCAATGAATGAGAGCTCCTGCTGCTCCACATCCTTTTCAGGATTTGATGTTGTCAGTGTTCTAGATTTTGATCAGATTTTGGTGTGTAGTGATATCTCATTGTTGTTTTAATTTGCATTTCCCTAATGACATATGATGTGGAGTATAATTTCATACATTTATTTGCTATTTGTATATCTTCTTTGCTGAAGTATCTGTTAAGGTCTTTGGCCTATTTTAAAATCAAATTGTTTTCTTTTTGTTGAGTTTTAAAGAGTTCTTTGCGTATTTTAGATACCAGACTTTTGCAAATATTTTCACCCAGTTTGTGGCTTGTCTTTTCATTCCTTTCACATTGTTTTCTGCAGAGCATAAGTTTTTCACGTCGATGAAATCTAACTTATAATTTTTTTCTTTCCTGTGTGATGCCTTCGGTGGTATATCTAAAAAGTCATCATTATACCTAATGTCATATAGGTTTTCTTCTATATTATCTCCTAGAAGTTTTATAGTTTTGCATTTTACATTCGGTTCTATGATCCCTTTTGAGTTCATTTTTAAAGGTGTCTGGATTTATTCTTTTGTGTATGGATATCCAGTTGTTCCACCACCATTTGTTAAAAATATTTTCTTTGCTCCATTGTATTCCTTTTGCTCCTTGTCAAAGATGGGTTGACTATATTTATATGGATTTATTTCTGAGCTCTCTATTCTGTTCCATGATCTATTTGCCTATTCTTTCACCAATACCATACTGTCTTGATTATTGTTAATTTTATAGTAAGTCTTGTAGTCAGGTAGGGAGTCAGTCCTCTACTTTTGCTCTTCTTTTTTAATATTATGTTGGCTATTCTGGTCTTGGATTGTATTTTATGTCTATTTTCAGGGAGCTGTTGAAAGAAAACTGGTGAGAGGAGAAGGACAGACCAAATTAAAGGGCAGACTTTGACGTGAAAGCAGTTCCAAAGACATTTATAATCTTTTTAAGAGGTGAGGCAAGGAGTTACATTGAAAGTTCTGTGTGACCACAATGATTATCAGAATTCCACCTAGACTCTATGAATTGATCACCTTTTTTACTTAAAAGTGACATGTGGTAGGATGACAGATATAGAATCTCTGAACTAAGGGGTATATTTGATAGAACCTCATTATTCTGAGAGTCTGTTCCCTTGTTGTAAAAGGTCTTAGAAGTTCTCAGCAGTACAGGAGACATTTAGAAACATTTTTTTAAAAAAAGTTCCAAAAGAAGTATTCCTCAAGAGACCACTCTTGTCTTATATCTCCAGCGTGAGAAATGAAACTATAGTTGAGCCTCAGCAAATAGCCTATGAACTCCTTGCCTAGTCACTGCATAAGTTAGCAGCTCTGTGGAGATGCAGACTGCAATAACATCAAAAAGAAAACTTATTTACTTTACTGTAATGATAGTGATTTTTCTCTTTCAAGCCTATGTGAGCTTTCCTACTTAAATTATAAGGCATTGTAACTTCTTGTTGCTGTTGTTTTATTTTTACATAGAAAGAAAATTGGGTATTCTGCAGGGAGAAATGGAATGAAGTCAAAACAAAAGCATGAGTTAAAAGGCCTTTGGGAAAATGCTGATAATGTTGAAGTGGGATGATTGGTTCATTCTACTATTCTGTTTACTTTATATTCTGTTTACTTTATATTCTCTGAAAGTTTCCATAAGAGAAAGCTTCTTTTAGGAGGCTTTGGGGTGTTTCCTAAAATAAGGAGAGGAATTGTTAAAGGGTCAGGTCAGAGTGCTCTGTGGGATGGGGTTAGCCTCAGCTGAATTAAATGTAATCCTTTGTGCTGCGGAGGAAGTTTGGAGAATTTATTTTGAAGCCCATAACACTTTCCATTAGTTAAGGCAAGCTAAGAATATTTCTACTTCTGCTAAAATAAAATTTATTGAGTTCTTAATAACTTTTTAGTATTATGATGGTTAAAACCACAGACTCTAATATGAGACTGCCTGGATTTATATCCTGCTTCTATTAATTACTGGTTATCTGATGATGGGCAAGTCACTTTATCTTTGCATATAAAAATATCATTATCATATTACTACTTTTAGTCCACATGGATGTCAATGCTTGACTGTAATCAGGTCCCAGACCATGACCTGATTTACATGGTTCTCTATCTCTCACCTCCTTCTCTTCCAGATAGATGTGCCCCAGTCGCAGGAAAATGAAGTGCATCTCAGAAGCATCTACTACAAAACTAATGGTTCGCTCATAGCATGCCTTGGCCTCAGCATGATTTCCACTCAGAAAGTAGAGATGGCCCTTCACACCCCAAACGTTAGGGTTCTGAGAAAGTGAAGAACAAGTAGTACGTGGGATGAGGTGATGTTTAATTTAAAAGTACATTAATGATCTTTGTTTAACACTTAAACTTAAATGTTAAAATTATCTGCTTTCTTTTTCTAATAGCGCTCAGTTAGAAACAGGGCCATTCAGTTGCCCTCTCATTTCTTTCTTGCATTCTTCAAAGCTGTTCTGTCTTTGGGATAAATATTAATAAAAACATTCAAGTATAGCCAGATAGTGTTCACAATAAGAAAAACAGAAGCACAGAAAACTGGAAATAGATAAGGTATCTATGAAAGAGCTGTCCTTATCCTTTTCTCTGCCCTCTGCAAAACTCAGAATTGCTTAAGAAAAACAAATGGAAGGAAACAGGTATATGACCTAACTGACTGCTAATGACTCCCATCTCTGGAAACCAGAAATCTACCTGTGATATGGCATAACCACCTTTAAGAAAGTCTGCTCACTCCTTCTCCAAATTAAACCCAAGAGGCTCTAGCAAAAGTTATTACCAGGTAGTCCATCTGGGCTGCTTGTTGAAGGTATGCCTCTGCCTTGGCAAAGTCCTTCTTGAGGAGGTATGTCTGGGCCAGCACCAAGTAATACTCACAGCTGGGGCCTCCTTGAGGGCATAACAGCTCATGTGCAAGCACCCTGTGCACATACTGCAAGGAAAAATCAGATTATAAGGAACATGTAAATGACTGCATTATGTTAGTGCCATAGCTCTCATTGTTGAAGATTCTCTCTCTGATAATAAACAATAAGTAACATATTATAGAATGAAATGATTATGAACTTCAAAAGGTTAGAGGTGAATTATAAACATTCAGTATATCATGGTTACATTACCAACTATTCACTTAGTCACCAAATGTAGATGTTCCCAAGTGAATACAGTATTGCACAATTCTGGTATTGCTGGTCAACATATTAGATGAGTTTTAGCCTGTTTTTGTTATGCAGCAGATAAAGGCACTTACATTTACACAGAAGGTAACATTTTCAGGCAGCCGTAATTACAAGGAAACTTACAGTGAGTGAAAACCTCCCTTTACTAAAATTCTAGACTCCGGATCTTGGAAACAGTGTATCTATTTGTGACATACTCTCAAACATTTGTTTTTTTTTTCACTAGTTTTATACTTTTGCCCATTCTTTATTTTTAATACTATGCAAGACTTGCAAATTTGACAGTCACATGTACTTGCTAAGCAGAGGGGGAAACCCTTCTTTTCCCTCTGTTCCCATCTCAGCTTATACTGTAGAAACTTCCACTAACACTTATCCCTTCTTAGGAAAATGCTGAAGGGAGGATCTGCAGCTGTTCCCTCTACCTGCATTCTGGCTTTGACATGGAGGGATAGTGACTTATTTAATCAGGGAAACAGAGAGCCTGTTTTTCTTTTGGGAAAGGTTTAATGTGGCCCACTCCCACCCGGTTCATAATTTTTGCCCTTTCTTGAACTTGTCCACCCTCAAGTGGAACATGCACAGTGCAGGATCAGGGCTAACTCTCTTGGCTCTTGGATCTTGCTCTCTCTCCTACTGCTTGTTTCATGAATATACTTCTGTTTCCCATGTGGTAGGTAGACCTTGTAGGATACTCTTCTTCCTTGGGAGGAGGCTGCAATTCTCCAGATGTTCCACCTGTGACAGCATAGGTTAAGTTAAATCTAGGACCAGTCACATCTCTAGCCCAGTTTTACCAATAAAAAAATTTAATATTTTTTCCCCCCACACTGATATAGCACCGTGTATCTGTTCCAACTGGTTCAGATCCTGAAAGGAAAGAAGGGTATAATTAGGTTCCTGTGAAATCCCAACACTCGCCTGAGTTCCCATAATAAAGTGACATCAGGCTGCATATAGAGTCTTCATTTGCTCTGCTGGTATTCTACAGGGAGCAGACTTGCAGTGAGGTCTTCTGAGGCTCCCTGCAGAAAGTGGTTCACGCCTGGATATTCATCCCACTAGGCTTACTGTGTGCTCTCAAAAGCATTTTGATTTCTGTATCATACATATTTAAGCTTACAAATAGACCATTATGAATAGAATAAGTAGTTCATTAAAATCTTTCCATCTATTTGTACTTTTCCAAATATTCTGACCTGCACAGCATTGAACTTCATCAAGAACCGTATGGTTTCCATGAAGATGGTGGTAGGAGTTTGGGAAACACCATAAGAAGTGGGATGCAGAAAAGTCGATGAATCTTGACATTTTGATGCTTCTGAAAATATATTAAAAGAATAGACGATTAGATGTTAAGGAAAAAAATGTATGAACCTCAGACACACTAATGTAGCAGGGAGATTATTCTAATATATATGAGAGAGATTATAATCTGGAAAGCAATAGATTGCTCTACAGCAATGGTCCCCAAAGAGAAGATCTCAAAAGTTCTCAAGGTTATTCAACTAATGTTTCCAAATGCAAGTCACAACCAAATAAATGGGTTTTTATAAGTATTCAGATCTTCCTGAATGTGAAACATAATCTATAGATATTCTAAAAATGAATCATTAGAAAATCATAGGTCGATAGCTGGCTACTTTTCTGAGTTAAATATACTTGTTTATTGAAAGAGTTATACTACTGAGTTTGGATTTCAGAGCCTAGCCTCATATGAAGGCACTTAGGCAAAATGATAGATAAACTAATCAACTTTCTAATGTGTTAAGATGACTGTTTTGGTAATCATAGGAGTTGTCATCCTTGTCTAGTTTGTTTATACCCTCTTTCATTTGAAAATCTTTTTCCTAATTACCTCTTTTTGCTGGTATCTCCTTGACATATAGGTTGGATGGTTTTTGGTCTACTGGATCCTGAGATTGTACAGACAAAACGGGTTCTTCTGAATCAGACTGCAGTTTGGAGGATGCTTCAAGAAATCCATCTAGAATGGATAATGGAGTTCCTGGTCCTAAATAGGTTAAATTTTAATGAGGGGGAAAAAACCCTTCCTACATTGAATATTAAAAGGTTATTACAGAAAATAAAATATAATCAATTTTCAAAACATATTCCAGAACTACTGCATGGACAGACTTGTTTTGCAGACTTTTTATATTTCTGTATAATTTAAAGAGTACAAGCTAAACTTAGAGCAGTTTCTGTCACTATAACCCCTAGTCCAACCCTGCTGCTAGCCCAAGGCATGATATCATTTGCTAGACCCAGAATCTCAAGAATCAAGATGAGAAGATTAATATATTTTTAGATGATATTAAAACCTCTGAAAGATAGGAATTCTAATCATCTCAGTGTTTAATAATAATAATTAATAATATAAGTAGCCATAGTTGAGCATGACTATATGCCAAGTTTTGTACTAAGAACTTTAATGTATAATCTTATTTATTGTTCACATAATGAGATTTTATTTATTATGCTCCTTTAAACCATGTGCATCACAGAGAAATTAAATAATTTGCTGAAGCTCTTAAACATACCATGTTGCCTCTCAAGCAAACAAATGTTTGACAAATAAAAAATAAAAGGTAATGCCAGGCAGGAAATGATCAGCACTAGCTGGATATGAATCAGAAGAGGTCACTCAGCTAGAGCAAAAGATGTAGCTTTGAAAAATAGGTAGAAATTGGAGAAAGAGGGGCATACAAGGCTATGGGCATGCCGTTGGAAAAAGGATGGAAGTAGTGAGGTAATTTATTTTATTGGGTATTGAAGATTGCATAGAGAAAATTAAGAGAAAGGTAGGTTGGGGCTACATTGTATTGATATTTGAATGCTAGGATTTTTCTTCTAGAGGCAAAACATGAGGGTTACAATGAAGAGTACTGAACAGAAAAATTATATGATGAAAGTGGTATTTTATGAAGATTAACAGTGCTATGTAGCAAGGAGAAAAAATATGGATGGAGACAAAGAGATCTGTAATAAGGCTGGTACAACAGTCTGGATATTTGGTAAGGAGAATGAAGATTAACAGTGCTATGTAGCAAGGAGAAAAAAATGTGGATGGAGACAAAGAGATCTGTAATAAGGCTGGATATTTGGTAAGGAGAGTAGTGAAAATCTAAAGGAAAGATGCAAGGAACATTTTGAAAGAGAAACAACTGGTCTTGGGAATTAAATCTGATATAGGTATGGGGGAAACTCAAGCAAGAAAGGAAGAAGAAACAAGAATAACTCTGAGATCATGAGCTTGGATGACTAATATAGTGATGTAAAGTCAATTTGGGAGATAAGGAGTTGAGTTTACTAGTAGAATAATCCAGCTGCTGGGTTCTGGAGGGTTGTCTGGGTTAAAGATAGATACTTAAGAGTTATCAGTAGTGAAATGGAAACTATGACGGTAGGTGAGCCCTTAAAAAGCAAGACTGTGTTAGCGAGAATTGATTATATCTAATGACAGTGACAAGAAAGAGGAGCTAACAAGGGAAACCCAAACAGTTGAAGGTGGCAATCTAAGATGTATTTCAGGAAGGAGAGTGGTTAAATACTGCAGACTGATCATTGAGTAAGTGAGGATCTTAATTTTTAAAAATTGTTAATATTCAGCTTTTCTGAGGTATAAGTTATATATTAAAAAGTGTTTGAAGCATATAATTCAATGAACTTTAACAAATATATACATTTAGGTAATCATTACCACAATCAATATACAAAAGATTTCTAGTGCACTGAGGAGCTCCCTTCTTCTCTTTACAGTTAGTTGCCAACTCCCAGCTGAAGACAACAACTGATTTGCTTTCTCTCAATATAGTTTTGCCTTTTCTAGAATTTAATTTAAATGGAATCATACAGTATTGTACTCTTTTGCATCTGGCTTATTCAGTCAGCATAATGTTTTTGAGATTCATCCATGTTGTGTATATTGGTAATTTGTTTCTTTTTATTCCTGAGTGGTATTTGATTGTGCAGTTATATGAAAATTTATTAACCATTCACCTATCTATAAGTGATTGGGTTGTTTCCAGTTTTTGTCTACTATAAATAAATCTGTTGTGAACATTTGTATACAAATCTTTGCAAGGATATATGTTTCCATTCCTTTGGGTAAATACTTATGAGCGAAATTGCTGGCACACATATGTTTAACTTTATTTTAAAACTGCCTGTTTTTCCAATTGGTTGTACCATCTGGCATTCCCATCAGAAATTTTGGAGAATTCCAGTTACTCCATATCCTTTCCATAACCTGGTATCATCAATCTTCTTAATTTTAGCTATTCCGTAGTAAATTGCATTGATTTTCAAATGTGAAACTTACAACCCTTTGTGGATTGGATATATTATCATTTATATATGTTGCTGAAATTGACTGGCTAATATTTGTTAAGAATTTTTGTGTCTCGATTCATGAAGGTTATTGGTATGTACTCTTCTTTTCTTAGGATGGATCTGTCTGGTTTTGATATCACAATAATAACTATTCTCAAACTTTAGTACTGGAGGTATTCCCTCTTCTGTTTTCCGAGTTTGTTGTAGGAAGAGGGGAGGCCTGGAGTTTTCTTTGTGAGAGGGTTTTAATTACATATTTAAATTTCTTAGGAGATATATGGCTATTTGGATCTTCTCTTTCTTCTTGATAAGCTTTGTATGTCTGTCAAAGTATTTGCATTTTATCTAAGTTGTCAAATTTGTTAACACTAAGTTGTCAATAATTTCCCCTTACTATATTTCTAAGATTTATAAGATTTGCAGTGGTATTTCTTTTCATTCCTGATATTGGTATAATGTATCTTCTTTTTTTCCTAATCAAATTTATCAATTTAATTGATCTTTTCAAAGAATCTGTTACTGGTCTCATTAATTTTCTCTATTCTTGGCTGTTCTTTATAGGTCAGTGCTGACTGATTGGGATGTAATCTATGCACTAAAATTGAGGTGCTGTGAGTGAGAAGGAATCTATTGCCAAGTCTCATAGATATTGCTCTTGTCAAAGAAAAATAAATCCTCCAAACCACATATCCTTCCATTTCTTACAGGAAATTCAGCTCCATCATAATCTATGGAACCAACATCATATAGTTCATCACTGACCCAAACATTGTTATGTGGCACATGACTGTATAACATATTATTGAAGATAATAAAAAGACATGAGTAGTATGAGGATTGGTGGGGTGGGTGGAAGGTAATGCTATCATTATTGGCAGATGATATCATAATCATATTCTAGGAAAAATACTATAGAATAATCTATTAGAATCAATGAGTCAAACAAGACTGTCATATACAAGTTTAATCTAAAAAACAATAGTATACAATAAAATTGAAAATGTAGAAAGTCAATAGCATATCCTAAAAAGATAACAGTGATAACTAACTAGAACATATAATTAAATGAGATCATATAATGATAGCAATGGAATCTATAGAATACTATGAATTACTTAAACAGGGCCTCGGTGGAAAAAAATGTTAAAACTTTAACAAAGGACATAGAAGATGATCTGAGTAAATGGAGAGATCTCGACATACTTGGAGGGAATGGTTTAAATAATATACAGGTGTTAATTATCCCTCAATTCATCCAGTTCTATCCAGTCCAAATAAAATTTTCAGCTAGATTTTTTTTATATACTTGATAAACTCATTATAAAATCCATTAAGATGAATAAAGGTCCATGAATAAGTAAGTTAGGAATAAAAAAAACAAATTAGAGAACCTGATACACTAGATATTAAGGCATACTACAACACCACAGCAATAAAGAGTGTGATATTGTTTTAAAATAAGACAAAAAAAGAATAGAGAGCTCAGAGACATATATACCTTAAGTCTAAGAAAAGAGGATTGTTTAATTAATAATTTTCAGAAAACTAGATCCTTGTATGGAGAAACATGAAACTGGACGCCTACCTCACTTCGCATTCAAAGATGGAATCCTGCCTGATAAATTAAAGATCTAAATGTAAAACTAACATGATAAAGTTAACTGAAGAACATGTGACTTGAGGTAGGAAGAGCTATTAAAACAAAACTTCAAAGGCACAAAACTACAAAGCACAAAACTATAAAGCACAAAACTAGAAAGCTAATTGGCGGCTGTCTGGAAATGGGGGCAAGAAAAAAGAATAGAAATAGGTGCAAGGAAAATTTGGGGGAGTTTAGATATGTTCATTGAATTGATTGTGGTGATATTTTCATGGGTGTTTTCATATGTTTAAATGTATTAAATTGTACATGTTAAATATGTGCAGTTTATGAAATGTCAATTACACCTCAGAAAAACTATTGAAAATATATGCACACAAAATAACAATATGCAATAACATATAAATAACATAACATATGCGAAAAACATGCAAACAAAAACACACATTAAATACAGTAGAATGACTGATTTCCTGAAGTAGAGGACAGGAGAATGGCAATAAAGAAACAAGGGAGTGCACAAATAAATTTAAGAATCACAAGAGAGAGAGACCTTACATGTTGGGGAAGAGAGTGAGGGGGAAAAAAAGAACTTCACTCTGCTAGAATGATACCCCTTTTAGAGGTACACAGAGAACAAATTCTCTAAAATTAAAAAAACTGAATAGCAATAGTAGAAGCTTCAGACTTTCAATCATATAAATGAGGAAATATTTTGGAGAAGTCTTTTCCTGGTATGCCCAGAACAACTCAAAACTCCACCTATTCATTTAACAAATATTTACTGAGTACCTATTATGTGCTTGGTGCTATTCCTAAGGCCGGTAATTTTCCCAATAGCCATTCATGATCTCCATTCCCCAGTCCTACCTGCTGGGGCTTCCGCCTTAATTGCTGTTGTAGAGGAACCATCAGTGATTCCCCAAGGGCCTAAACTGGATTCTACGTTCCCTCCTTCTTCAACATACTCTATAGTACCCATACTCTTCTCCTTCGTTACTTGTGCCTGAAGCACTCGTGCCTGAAGCTGTTTGAAGCCTTCATGAAATGCCATTTCCATTCTAATATCGTTGTTTTGAATTTCATAGTACAAACCTGAAAGAAAGATGCTGAAATGAATGTGACTAATTTCTCACCATCATTTACTGAAGAATTGCAACATTTCTCACATTTTTACCAAAGTTTAAGAACTACATGAAGGGCCACTAGAGAAAGGAAAGAGAAAGAGAGAATCTTATAATGAGAGAAAACACATTCAGATCACAAGAAAATACCATACCAAGCAAAGTCCAGGCTACAACATTACTTGGTTCCAAGCAAGTAGCATCCTCAAAGAAAATTTCTGCCTGCTCATAGTTCTCCATCAGGACAGCCAGGACACCACACAGCAACAAGCTGAGAAGACACCACCAACATGATTAACAACATGGTTCCATGTCACAGTAATGAAATCAAGACAACTTCATATAGAAGTTTATTTGCTTCTACTCATTCCCCATCTCCTTTCACCCATACCTGTGGATATGATTCTGGTTGAGGGAAAGGGCCTTCCGAAAACACTCCTGTGCTTTAATGTTGTCCTCAGTTAGGAGGCAAAAGGCACCATAGTCCAGCCAGTGTTCCAGGTTCTGGGGCTCACGGACTAATCTCTACCATGTGAAGCATCGGGAGGACCAAGGTTATTGTAACACCATGTCATATATTTATGCATGTAACATCACACAGAAGCACTCCATAAATACTATAAGCTCTATGAAAGCAAAACTTTGACTTCTTTTTTGCCTACCATTGAATTCTGAATGCCTAGCACAGTCAATGTTCTGGCTTACCATAAAGTCAATAACTATTTGACTTTAAAAATCTAAATTGATATAATAATAATCTAAATTGAAATAATCTAAAGATTTATTTTATGGTTCATTTTAAACATTCACATATAATCATTTCTGTCATAATCTAGAGATGGCAAGTATGAGTTTATCTACAAGTATGCAAAACCAGCACCTTGTAATGAGTGAAAAGTACAAAATATTGCTGAAAGAAATTAAAGATGACATAACTAAATGGAAACACCTCCCATGTTCATGGATTGGAAGAGTTAATATGTTAAGATGTCAATACTACCCAAAGCAATTTACAGATTCAATGCAATCACTATCAAAATCCCAATGTTTTTCGATCCCATCTGATCTCAGAAGCTAAGCAGGATTGGTCCTGGTTAGTACCTGGATGGGAGACCACCTAGGAAGACCAGGTGCTGTAGGCATAAAAAATAAATAAAAAATAAGGGATTGTAAGCTGACAAGGTCTTTGCAATCTGTGAGGTCAACCAAGGGTTGCCTCACTTAAAAAAAAAAATCCCAAAGTTTTACAGAATTAGAAAAATCCATCATAAAATTGATATGGAATGTCAAGAAAATATGAATAGCCAAAACAATCTTTAAAAAGAAAAACTGGAAAACTCACACTTCCTGATTTCATAACTTACAAAGCTACAGTAATTAGTGTGGCACTGGTATAAAGACAGATATATATAGATCAAAGGAATAGAATAGAGAGCCCAGAAGTAAACCTTTGCACATATGGTCAAATGATTTTTGACAAAAGTGCCAAGACCATTCAATAGGGAAAGGACAGTTTTTTCAACAAACGGTGCTAGGAAAGCTGGATATCCACAAGCAAAAGAATAATGTTGCGTCCTTACCTGACACTATATACAAAAAAGTAACTCAAAGTGTATCAAAGACCTAACTAACTGTAGAACCTAAAACTATAAAACTCAGAAGAAAACATAGGACAATAGCTTCATGACACTGGACTTGGCAACGATTTCTTAGATATGACACCAAAGGCACAGGCTACAAAAAAAAAAAAAAGACAAATTGACTTAATAAAAATTAAAAACTTTTGTACATCAAAAGAAACTATCAGGAGAGACTGGCCAAGATGGTGTGGAAGACAGATGTTGTGTACTCCTCCTCTCACAACTACATTAAAATTATAATGAAACTACAAAGCAACCATCACGGAGAGTTGCCTGAGGTCTGGCTGAACAGAAGTCATACAACCGGAGCCATACGTAACAGGTCACCTTGGGGCTGGTAGGAGGGGCAGAGACATGAAACATGTGTGGCTGTCAAGAACTAGGAGGGTTATCTTGGCTGCAGAGACCCCTCCCCTCCCTGAGGAACCACACTGGGCTCTCCAGCCCAGGGTTCCAGAGCTAGGAAGAGAAGTTCCCATAACTTCTGGCTGTGAAAACCAGCAGAGATTGTGGCCAAGTGACACAGAAGGCTGTGGGAATTGCAGGCATTCCTATTAAAGGGCTCACACCCAAACTTACTCACTGACAGACTCACTCACTCTGGAGCTCCAGCAGCTGCTAGAGGAGTGCCAGGGGCATCTGAGTGACACTGAGTTGTCGGGCTTCAGGGTGAGGGCTGGAGGGGCAGCTTTCTCTCAGACAGAAGTGTTGGCAGTATCCATTATTCCTTGGTTGGGTCCTCCATCCTCCCACCATGTGGATACAGGTAGCCACCATATCTGAGTCTCCATCAACCTGGATAACATAAGTTGCTCTGTCCAGGTGATTTCCCTGTGACTCTGCCTCTCTCAACTTGTGAGCCCACATAAGCTGCCTCCAGTGGTTTATTCCATATAAATGGCTTGTCTTGGCTCATGCTGTAAACTTTCCTATAATCTCTCAAAGGCTCACAAAACCCAAAGGAGTAGCATCTGGCCTTGGTGTGCACTGTACCTCTTGCTGAGCAGCCTCAAGCCCCACACTACCAGCAGCTGGCCTCAGTTTCTGACTTGGCCTCTCGAGGCACCTAGAAGCCCAGCACAGGTGGCAGCCATCTGAAGATTGCGTGGTGACTATTACCAGGTGGTCCCAGAAGTGCACAGGCTGCAGCTGACCTTGGCCTACAGCTGGGCCGCTCCCAGGAAGCCCTTGGCTTGGCATACCCAGAGGCCTGCTTCAACCGGTGATGGAGCCGGAGTACCACCCAGGCCTGCATCTGAGGAGGACACACTCGAAGGGCAGACTGGGAAGGCACCAGAACTGTGATAAAGTAAATCCTGCTCTGTAGAGTCAGCCCCTCACCGGCCAGTCCTCACAACCAATTAGCCTAAGAGTCAATCCCTCCCATCGAAGTGCAAATAACAACCAAGGCTCAACTATACCAAGGAGGCACACATGACTTACACAAGAGACATACCTTGAGCACCTTGCTGGGCCCCACAAGACAGCTACTATATAAAACCACTCTACTAAGACCAGGAGACTTCGGAGCCCTACCTAATAGATAGAAACAAGCACAAGGAGACAGCCAAAATGAGGAGGCAAAGAAACATGTCCCACATGAAAGAACAGAACAAAGCTCCAGAAAAAGAGCTAAACAAAGTGGAGATAAGCAATCTACCAGAAGCTGAGTTCAAAATACTGGTTATAAGGATGCTCAATGTACTTAGGGCAAGAGTAGATGAACTCAGGGAGAACTTTAACAAAGAGATAGAAAACATAAAAATGGAGATGGAAAACATAAAAGGGAACCAGTCAGAAATGAAGAATACAATATCTGAGATGAAGAGTACATTAGAGGGAATCAACAGATTGGATGAAGCAGAGGATTGAATCAATGATTTACAAGATAAGGTGGTGGAGGACACCCAATCAGAACAGCAACAAGAAAAAAAAGAATCTTAAAAAAATGAAAATAGCTTTTAAGGGGCCTCTGGGATAACATCAAGCACAACAACATTTGCATCATAGGGGTACCAGAAAGAGAACTAAGACTTTCAGTTGATTTCTCAACAGAAAATTTGCAGGACAGAAGGAATTGGCACAAAATATTCAAAGCAATGAAAAGCAAAGACCTATAACTGGTAGTTACAAAATAGTCATGAAAATATAAGGTGTAGCATAAGGAATATAGTTAATAATATTGTAATAATTATGTATGGTGCCAGATGGGTACTAGATTTATTGGGGTGATCACTTTGTGAGTTATACAGATGTCTGATGACTATGTTGTACACCTGAAACTAATATAATATTGTATGCCAACTATAATTGAAAAATAAAAAATATTATTTAAAAAACTATCAACAGAGTAAAAATGTTACTCACAGTTGTTTGGGGATAAATGGGAGAAAATATTTGTAAACCATCTACCTGGTAAGGGGTTAATATTCAGAATACTGTATAAAAAGAATTCCTAAAACTCAACAACAAAATATTAAACAACTTAACTCAAAAATGGGCAAAGAACTTGAATAGATATTTTCCCAAAGACCTACAAATAGCCAAAAGCACAGGAAGAGACTCAACATCACTAATCATCAAGGAATCAAACCATAATGAAATGCCACCTCCCACCCATTAGGGTTGCCACTATCAACAAAACAGAAAATAACAACTGTTTATGAGGATATGAAGAAATTAGAACTCTTGTACAATGTGAGTATATAAAATGGTGCAGCCACTTTGGAAAAGAGGAAGGTGGTTCCTCAAAAAATTTAAAAATAGAATTACCATATGATACAGCAATCCCACTTCTGTATATAACCATAAGAACTGAAAGCAGAGTTTCAAAGAGATATTTGTACATCCATGTTCATAGTAGAATTATTCATAACAGCTAAAAGGTACAAGCACCCAAGTGCCCATTGACAGATGAATGTGGTATATACATACAATGGAACATTAGCCTTAAAAAGGAAGAAAATTCTGACATATGCTACAACATAGATGAACCTTAAGGATACATGCTAAGTGAAATAAGCCATTCACAAAGGGGCATAAGAATTTATTTATATAGACTGATGTTTTGAACTTGTTGTAGTTTAAATAGTCCTCTGTCAATTAATTTAGAAATTGGAACATATTTTCCTCTTGAAAAAATTATAAATGTGAAAAGATGTTCAAAATCACTAGGCATTAGAAAAATGCAAAATAAAACCACAATGAGATACCACTTCCACCCATTAGAATGGCTATAATAATTTTTTTAAAAGATGGATGATAACTAGCATTATCTAGAATATGGAGAAAAATGGAACCCTCATCCATTGCTAGTGGGAATGTTAGTACAGCCTTTTGGGAAAAAGCTTATCAGTTCCTCAAAAAATTAAGCATAGACTTACCATAAGATCTAGCAATGCCACTCCTTAGTATATACTCAAGAGAACTGAAAACATATGTCCATACCAAAACTTACACACTCTATTACATGAATGTTCATAGCAGCATTATTCACAATAGCCCAAAAGTGTAAACCAGTCAAACACCCATCTATAATGAGTAAAGAAACAAAATGTGGCATATCTATACAATGGAATGTTACTCAGCCATTAAAAGGAATAAAGTACTAATACATGCTACAACATGAATGACCTTTAACAACATAATGCTAAATAAAAGAATGTAGTCACAAAAGATCTCATATTGCATGATTCCATTTATATAAGCTGTCTACAATAGGCAAATCTATATAGAGAAAGTAAATTCGTGGTCGCCTCAGACTGAAGTAAAGAGGAATGGGGAGTGACGATTAATAGGCACAGGGTTTCTTTCTGGGGTGATGCAAATGCTCTAAATTTAGACTGTAGTATTGCTGTGAATCTAAACAGCTTTTTAAAAAGTCTATTAAGTGCTCGCTTTGGCAACACATATAAAAAGTCTACTAAAAAATTAGATTGTGGTGACAGTTGTACAGCTCTGTAAATACAGTATACTAAATACTGTATACTTTAAATAGGTGAATATTATGGCCAGTGAATTACATCTCAATAATTAAATATAAATGAAGGTTCAGACCATTCTTCATATGTTTATTCAGCTCATGATGCATGTGATAGGTGGCACTAACAGAACTAAGGAACTCAACTGTCATTCACAACGCGTTTTAAGGACTCAGTAAATGCTTGCTGGACTTGTTGAATTTGGGTTTTATTTTTTAAATTATTTGTAATAAATTAATGGTTTTTTTTCTTTTGGTATACAGTTCTATGAATTTTAACACATGTATACCTTTATGTTACCACCAAGAAAATTGAAATACAGAACAGTTCCACTATCCCAAAAAAGTTTCTCATGCTATCCTTTTATAGTCATCTCTTCCTCCCAACCCATAACCTCTGGCAACCAGTGATCTGTTATCCATCATTATAGTTTTGTCTTTTCAAGAATGTCATATAAATGGAACCATACAGTATGCAAACATTGACACTGGCTTCTTCCACTCAGTATAATGCCTGGGAGATTCATCCAAATTGTGTTTATCAGTAGTTCATTTCTTTTATTGCTGAGTAGTATTTCATTATATGGATAGACCATAGTTTATCTATTCACCCTTTGAAGAACATCTGAGTTTCTTTTGGTTTGGGTAGTTATGAATAGAGCTTCTATAAACATTCACGTATATAAGATTTCATTTATTTAAGGTAAATACCCATGAGTGGGTCATATGATAAATGCACAAGAAACTGTGAAACTATTTTCCAGAGTGGCTATATCACTGTGCATTTCCTCCAGTAAAATATGAGGGTCCTAGTTGCTTTGTATCCTCACCAGCACCTGGTATTGTCAGCATTTTTCACTTTAGTTATTCTAATAAGTGTGTAGTAGCCACTCATTCCAGTTTTAATTTGCATTCCCTAATGGCTAATGATGTTGAACATCTTTCCATGTTCTTATTTATCATACTTATGCCCTTTTTAGTAAAGTGTTCAAATCCTTTACCCATTTGTATTTTTTTGTTTGTTTTTTATTGTTGAGTTTTGAGAGTTCTTAATATTCAGAGGACAAATCCTTTGTCAGATATATGTTTTACAGATATTTTCTCCTACTGTACCTTTTCTCTTCTTTCTCCTAACAGTGTCTTTCACAGAACATATGTTTTTAATTTTGACGAAGTTCCATTTACCAAATTTTTCTTTGATGGATTATACTTTGGTGTCATGTCTAAGGACTCTACCTAATTCCAGGTCATGAAGATTTTTCTCCTCTGTTTTCTTCTAAAAGTTTTATAGTTTTACATTCAGATCTATGATCCATTTTAAATTGATTTTTATACAACATTTGAGGTTTAGGTCAAGGTTCAATTTTTGCATATGATGACCAACAGTTCTAACACCATTTTTTGAAGAGTGTCCTTTCTCCACGAAATTTCTTATACACCTTTGTCAAAAATATAATAGCTTTATTTGTGTTAACACCAATTTTTGGACTCTGTTTTATTGATCTATGTTTCTATCCTTTCACTAGTCTGGCTGAATTCTGAATAATCAAAAACTACTACTTATTATACCCATTTTGTACAAATAATAGTAAACAACAACAACTGAAAAGATGTTTAACTACCTCTTCATAATACACTGCTGCCATTTCAAAGTTCTCATTGACTTCTGCTTCAAATGCAAAGAGCCGAAGCTGTTCACTGCTTGTATAAATGGTTGAGACAGCACTTTGGACATCATCTGGCATGGTCTTGAAAAACAGCAAAACGTTAGGCAGACAAAGTGAAGCAATTACAAGTAGAGACGTTTTATAAGAATAAACCAGATATGAGACACCAGTCATGAGATCTAACATGATATTGAGGTTTCTCACAGTTTTGTCAATATAGTAAGAGAGTGAGAATGAACCAAGAGAGAAATATCAAGGGTGAAAGAGAAGCTCTGTTATCTAAATACCAACAGTCTGAGCTCATGGAAGTGATCTGTCCTCCATCCTCAGGATCCCTAAGCAAGCTGCCTCTGACCACAAATAGCTTCCTTCATTTTCTCTAGTGTATAGGATAAATATTTAAATTTTTTATGTGCCATGACATGAAAAAGGTTGACAAGTAATAGATAGAGTCTTCAAATAGTGAGAAAACATGAGACTAAGAGTAAAGCTTTGGAAGCTACATCTATACTTTTAGTGGGCTATATAGAGAGATAGACCATACAAAGAAGATATTATAGAAATAGCCAGAAAGGTAGGAGGATATCCAGAAAAATAATATGTCCTATATATCCAGATAGGAAAGAAGTCTGGTGTAATAAATAATCTTCTAGGTCAGAAGCTATGGCCAAGAAAGACTCCCCAAAATTCTTTAATTAGAAGTAAAAATAATACCAGTGACTTTAACAACTAGAGTTGCTAAGTGATGTGAAGAATAAAGAAAGATAAATTTGAGATGGGCTAAAGAAAGCTTCTGATCATTGATTAATGCCTCTGTTCTTAGTCCTTTTTAATTTCGATGATCTTGACCTCCAAATCCCTCCAGCAACACATTTCCATACCCAAATCAGAAATACTCTACCTCTAATATCCCACTCCCAGAACTCACATTACAAGCCTTCTGCCCTTTTGTCACTTAGTCTCCTTAAAACTGCTAACTTAATTTCCTTCACTTCCAATATGCCTATCATTTCTTAAGTGGATAAGCCTGGACCTCATGATCGTTCACACATACTACTCTCTCACCAGCACACTCAAGTCCCAGGTATCCTTATCCTTCTCCTGCACTTGTCCTGAAAACTCCCAAATTAAAACACTCCAACAATCTGATTTCTTAGATAGGAGCTGCTAACTGGTCCTGAGGAAAACTGTATACACATAGAGATATCTGAGCTGCCACAGACTCTTCTGGCATTCAGTGTAGCTGAAGGCCTTTATAGTCTTAGTAATCTATGTATTTGTCCTTGTTCAGCAACATATTCCATAATGCTATGCACTAAATTTTTCTTTCTTCAAGCTTTTCATTCAATCCTTATCCCCTTTACTATCAGTGAAGATGTTACTTCTAAAAGGAAATAGAAATCAGGAGGCAAAAAATCCCTCAATTTATGAACCCCACACCTAAACTGTTTATTTCTGCATCCATTGCATCTCTTTCCTTTCGTTCTCAGAGGAAGAGGCATCACACCCTTCTGTATTTCAAGGCTAATCCTTCCATCTAAATTCTTAATCTTTTCCCACTTGTATACCCTTGGCTTGCTATCAATTATCCCCTCTTTCTATTTTCACATTCTCCCAGTCTGCTGGCTCCTTTTCCCAAACCTGTACACATGCTAAAGTCTTATCTATATTAAAAAAAATCTCTAATTTCTAGCTACTACTTTCCCACTTCTTCCCTTTATATTCCAACTTTTTGGATTTATATTCACCTATTTCCTTATCGCTCATTTACTCCTCAATTCATTATAATTAAAATCCACTCCATTAGCCCAATGAAATTGCTATGTAAAGGTAAATAATAACTGCCTTATTACCAAATCCAATGAAAACTTTTCAGATTGTTTTTCTCCCCTCCTCCCCCCCGGGATACACCAGTTTTACTGAAATTTAATTAACATACATCACTGTATAAGTTTAAGGTATATAGCATGATGATTTGACTTATATATATTGTGAAATTATTACCACAATAAGTTTAATTTGCATCTAACATCTCGTATAGATACAATAAAAAGAGAATGCAAAAAAGGAAAAAAATTTTTTCCTTGTGATGAGAACGCTTAGGATTTACTCTCTTAACATAAATATTCATATATATCATATGGAAGTATTAACTATAGCCATCACACTGTTATCGCATCCCTAGTCCTTATTTATCTTGTAACTGGAAGTTTGTACCTTCTAACCACCTTTCTCCAGTTCCCCTGCTCTCACCCACAGTTTTCATTTTCTTGAATTCCTAGGAGCATTTGACAATGTGGACTACTTTTTCTTCTTAAAATTTTCTTATTCTGGCTCTTTTGCCTTTTTAACAATTCACTTATCTCTTTCATTAATTCTTTTACTCATCCATCCTTTAAATGTTGGTGTTTCCTAGGGTTTCACTACCAGCTCGCTTCTCTCTCTACTCAAGTTTTTCTTGGCAGTTTCATCTATGATCATAGTTTAACTAGCATCTATATACTCATGGCTCCCCAAATCTCATCTCCAGCTCAGCTCTCTCTCTTGAGCAAAACCACACTAGAACCAATGTTCCAAATTTAATTCAAAATCAGTTGCCTTCCACCAAATTTACTGATGTTGTAGTAAATTCTTGTCCTGGTTAATGGCGCTACCAGCTCCCCAGTCACTGAGCCTTAAACTTAAGAATCTTTGACTTTTCCTCTCAACTATGTAATAACGAGTTAACATCACCAGTTTCAGCACCTCTAATTCATCTTATATACTGCTATCAGAGTGTTTTTTGTACAAAGCCTCCCCCAACACCTCCAACTCCCTCACCAGGAACTGGCTTCATCTGCTTCTCTGTCCCTCAACCACTTCAACCTCTTCCCCTGAACTATATGCAGTTTCTGTACGTGCCATGTTCTTCCAAGCGTCCAGCCTCTGGGATATTCTCTATAACTCAAATGCTCTGAAATAGCACATGGAGAACTTCTTTTTAGCCTTTAAGGCCCAACTCAAGTCACAGCTCTTCTGTGAATCTTTCCTGAAAGGTCTCAGAGTGAAGTTTATCACTTTTTCTTTAGGCATCCCCTAACCTGCTCTACCACTGACACACTTCTATCACAGCCCTTACTTTACTTTACTGCAGTTATTTGTATTCTGTGCCTGTCTCCTCTACTAGACAGGGGCTCCTTAGGGACAAAAGGCAACGGTTTACCATCTCATACTCAATTGCTTTCCAAATTAAATAATCCAAATCATCTGTGCCCAATGCAGAATTGTACTTTTAATCCTAGGATACTGAACACTCTTCTCCTGCTTCTTTCAGCAAAGTTGAACAAGGTGAAAAAAGTGATGGTGGCAGAGAATAAAAAACAGTGAATAGGTGACTCCATAGTGTAGTGGTTAGTATGTCTGCTTTACAGGCAGAAGGTCCTGGGTTCGTGCCCCAGGTGGAGCCATGGACCATACCCTCGGTGTGCCAGGACCCCTGGGTGAGCCAGGCCCTGGGCGCCCCCGGGTGCACCAGGCCCCCCTGGGGACACCAGGCCCTGGGTGCACACTACGAGCATGTGGGAGGAGATGCCCTGCCTTTAGAGATCCAGTTCTTAAAGGAGAAACCAGCAACATCCATTGATCAGGGGTGGAAGTTGGGGATCAGGGGAGAATTAAACAGGGGAGAAAAACAGTGAAGGAGAGACAAATAGAATAGAGGCTTTGAGGAGACAGACTATCAGGGGGACAAAAAGACTGACTTTATCATTGTATTAAAATAAACCATAATGGCATATATTTTAAAATGAGCAAATAAAGGTAAGATGCAAGCTGTGCAAATAATAGATATAAACGGACAAGGAGGAGGAAAGCAACCACCCTCAAATAGAAAAGGCATTTTTGAAATGTCATTGTCATTCAGGTATACTGTCTGAAAATTCATAGTTTTTCTTTGTTTTTATTGTCAATCTTGAAGAAAAAAATTGAAAACTGCGTGCATTCACAGAACAAACAGAATGATAATTTTTGCTCCATAATTTACATAGCCGGTTTTTCATTTTCTTTATCCATCACATTTATGACAGTTGTGAAATTAATTTTTCTAGAAAGTTGAAGATATATACCCCGTTTTCCCTAAAATTAGTCTTATAACTTAAGCAGTTTCCTATCATCTGTTTTCAGCACCTAGCACAGAGCAGATACCTCAATAAATGTTTGTAGAATTAAGGAATAAAGGAAGCAAGCAAGGAAGGAATCACTCAGAGGAAATGCTGATACTCTACAGGGCTCTGAGTTGAGTACCTACCTGGTTTAAGGCCACATGCATCTGATCCACCAAGAATACATAGAGCTCACTAATAAATGTCTGAAGTTCCTCCTGGCTTTCAAATGATGTTGTCTTCAAGTATTTCTCTCTCACAATCTTTACCACAGCATGCTGTAAGAGACACAGGTCACGCATATGATAACAGAGTCCAGCCCCATGCTGATAGCACAGGCCTCCCTTAAGCTTCCGGTCGAAGGCTCATCAGAACTTCAGAAGGTGATGGATTTCTCCCTTGGTGACCACTAAACTGTTGGCTCTCTGATTTTACCCCAATCAACATACACTGTATGATTTATTTTCTTGATGTCACTATCATCACTAATATGGTCAATGCTGTACTCATACTATGTAAAGAGAGTCATGAAGCCAAAGAAAACGTTAACATTAGGTTTACACATTATGTCTCTCGTGGTGGCCACATGATTCAAGGGAGAAAGGCCAGAGTTGAGAGTCTGGAGAATAAAATTCTGGTTCTTATCCTGCCACTGTACAACCTCGTAAATTATTTTTTGAGGTATTGGTACCTCAGTTTCCTTATTTGTTAATTAGATATGAACTTCTTGTATTACTTTCTTACTTCAGAAGATTATTGAGAAGCCAAAGAGAAATAACAGGTAGTGAAGCTTAAAATGCTGTACAAATAATATATTGCTATAGTTAGGATGGCTCCTCCTTTTTTCCCCCTAAGCAAATAACATTGCCAGGTTTTGTACTAAACACTTTCCATGCATTGTATTATTTAATTCTCATAATGACCCCATATGACAATATTAATATCACCCCTCATTGTTAGGCAAAGGAATTGAGGCTCAGAGAGGTAAAGTCACTTGACTAAGGTCATCCAGATAGTGATGGTAGAACCAGGAATCAAACTGAGATGTGATTATGCCGCCTACTGAGAATAGCCTCTTGCCTTTATGAGCATCTATTATTTTTTATTTTATTACTTCCATGTGCTTTCTTTGTGTATCTGTTTAGTATAGTTCAAGGCACATAGTAAATGTGCATAGAGAGGCAGTGCAGTGAAGCACTTAATAATGTGAGTTCTGCACCTGAAACTAATATAAAATAATATTGAATGTCAACTGTAATCAAAAAAAATTTTAAAGGGGGGAAAAGGTGAAGGAAAATAAGAGGTTCAAATTTCTAGCTACAAAATAAATAACTTATAGGGGTGTAATGGATAGCATAGGGAATATAGTCATTAATATTGTGATAGTGTTGTACAGTGTCAGATGGTTGCTACACTTACCATAGTGATCACTTCTTTAGATATATAAATGTTGAATAACTATAGTATACACCTGAAACTAATATAATATTGTATGTTAGCTATATTTTAATAAAAATCTTTAAAAAAAAAAAAAAAAAAAGAACAAGTTCTGGAGCCAGATTGCCTGAATTTGAGTCCCACCTTTGACCTTTACTAGCTCTGTGACCTTGGGCAAATTACTTAACCAACTGTTGCATTTCTCTATCTGTAAAATGGGGGGTACCTACCTCATAGGGTTGTTGTGAAGATATGAAGCATTTGAAATTTTGTCTAATATACAGCAAATACTCAATAAATGTTAGCATTATTTAGGAAATTACTACTAAGTAAATTTTTCTCAAGTCTTAGTGATTCTATGGCCTAGAGAAAAGTTTGTAATGGGAGACAGAGATAATTAGTCATGGAACCTGTACCACGTACACAGTTTCTGCTTGCTAGAGCAACATGAAATCTGACCCAAAATCTGACCTAACCTCAAGTGAAGAATTAGATTCTTAAAAGCTCCCACTCAAAATGGATACTGAACCATTCCAAGGCTCGGCAAGAATGGAGCTTCTCCTAATAGTCTATCAGGGAGAACACAGCTCTCTGCACCAACAAGGAAGAAAGATGGGAGCATAGGCAAACATAGCCAAAAAAAATAACTGGGTATGTAGAGAAGATGCTTCCTAAAACACACAGAATAATTAAATACATAAATATTTACCTTTAGTTGTTCTTTGAAAGCAAAGTATTTTCCAGAGCAATTAAGTTCATAGTTGAGCTGGCACTTCTGTTCCTCCAGGGTTTCACTATCTACATCACTCTCCAGTTTGGCCACCTGTTTTCCAAACATCCTGTGATACTCATCCAGAATGGCTCTAGAAATGTTCTTGATCTGCATGTGATAGTCACTCACCGCCTAGGAAAATATGAAATGTCTGATACAGAGGCCTCAGAGAGGTCAAGATGTGGAATAGATGTCTGAAAACTGGATTGGGTTTTACACTGAATAATACTTTAGGTATAAATTGTCCTTTTCTTCCCAGCTCAGAGACCAGCAGCGAAAGATTAAACACTAAATACTATTCACCATAAAGCATTGGTCACGACTAGATGCAAAAAGGAAAATACGTAAAGCTACAATTTCCTACCCCTTTTGAAAAACATATTGAAAATCCATGCCTTATTTTCAAATGAGTACACTCAACACCTTATGCCTTATAGTTGGATCTTGGCTTTGTCACTTGCCTTCTGAGCCCCTCCTGTCCGTCGGGTAAGAGGTGGCCTTGGAGGAATCATTTCCTTTACCCTGCATCAGAAAAACATAACCACTTTATTATCTGCAGATTTATGTTCTCTTTATTTCCTGCCTACAAAGAGTCTGGGTAAGGGGGATCTAGGATCTGTTCCCCCATTGTCCTTGAGCACTGTGCTATTCTCTCATCAAAAAGCCTATACATGAACCCCAGAATAGTTTATAGGTATGGATATAGGTATAGATAGGAAGGAAGCAAAGCAGCAGCTACTCAGAGTAGCTAAGTAGTACTTTTGGCTAATTCGAACTCTGGTTTTACCCTTACATATTTTAAACCATTGCTGTGTACAAGATGCTGCTTGACTCAGGAGTTGGGAAAAATGAGTGTTAGCATTTTAGGTACACCCAGTAGAGTCTATAAAAGCATAAAGTTTTGGAAATTTAAATGGTACAAGTAAGTGAAAGCTTTTCTTTCCTTCCTATCTAGGTTATAATTTACAAGACTGCATTAAATTACAATGATGATATTGAACTTTATGGTAAGAAAATATATTTTGTCACTGTCAAACTACTATGCCAAAACTTCCACCTTCCATTTTCAGGAAACCTTACAAGAACCTAGAGGGAATTAAGTTATAGCTTTTCCTCCTTATAGTTTCTCAAAAATTCAGTTTTTCTTTAATAGATCCTATATGATTATATACCTCTGCCTGTAACTTGATTTTAATATTATTTAATAGTTAATATATTCATATTATTCAAAGCTTAAGAGATATGAAACAATATATAATAAACTATCTCTTTCTAATTTTGCTTTCCAGCTACCCAGTTCCACTCCAGAGACAATGTTACCCATCCATTCATTCTTTCAACGTAGATACTAAGTGTCTCTTATCCAATAGGTGCTTTTCCAGATTCTGGGGATAGGGCATTAAACAAAATAGACAAAAATGCTCTATTGGGGAAAGAAAGACAATAAACAAGTTACATAATTAAGATAAATATGTTAGTGATATGTGCCATAGAGAACACAGGAAGGCAGACAGAGTTACGTTGGGGGTTGGGGTGGTAAAGTGGGAAAGTATATTTCACTAAAGAAAGCCTTACTCCCTGAAATGATAACATTTGAGTGAAGACCTGAGGGAAGGAAAAAACAAGTTGTGTAGAAATCAGGGGCGAGGAAGTTACAGGCAAAGGGAACAACAAGTATAAAAGCCTTTCTGCAACAGTGTTCCTGGCAAGTGTGAAGGACAGCAGGAAGGCCAGTTTGGCAGGACTGAAAAAGTGAGGGAAAAGTACAGAACATGTAGGCCCTTGTAGGCCACTGTAAGGACTTTGATTTTTACTCAGAGTGTGATTGAGAGTCACTGGTAGTTTCTGAGTATAAGAGTTACTTGAATTGACTTCCATTTTAATACAATTATTATAGAATGCTGTAATTAAGAATAAATTTTCCAAATGCCCATCACATGAAGGAAAAAACAAAATGTGATATATCCATACTATGACATATTATTCAGCAATAAAGAATGAAGTACTGATATATGTCACAGTATAAAAGAACCTTAATAACATTGTTAAATCAAAGAACCCAGTCACAAAAAAGAAACACATGTTCTGTGGTTCCATTTATATGAAATATCCAGAGTTGGCAAATATACACAGACAAAAAGTAGATAAATGGTTTCCAAGGGATGGGCAGTAGGGATGGGGGAGGTTGCCATGAGAGTTGGGAGAAAATATAGAATGACTGCTAATCTATATGGAGTTTCTTTCAGAGTTAATAAAAATATTATAAATTGATTGTGGTGATGGCTGTACAACTCTGTAAGTATACTAAAAGTCATTGAATTGTATATTTAAATGGGTAGAATTAATGGTATGTAAATTCTATCTCAATAAAGTAATTATTTGAAATAAAAGTATAAACTACTTATTTTGGCTGCCTCCCTGTGTTTGTTTCTATGTATTAAGTAGAGGTGCTACATCTGCTGGTCTTGATAAAGTGGCCTTATGCAGTAGGTGACCTGTGGGGTTCAGTGGTACAGTCTCCCTAGTCACCTGAGCCATGTGCTCCAGGTGTGTCCCTTGGGTATCCTCTTGTTGTAGTTGATCCTTGACTGCTGTTGGTACATCAGTGGGAGGGACTGACTCACAAGCTGATTGGCTGTGACGACTGCCTGTGACAACAGTGAAGGGGCTGTTGTTCAGGGGCTGATCCCCATAGAGCGGGTCCCAAGTCAGCCCTTTGAATGTGTCATTTGTAGAAGTGGTTGGGTGATGCTCTGGTGTGGTCTGAAGCTGGTGTGTTGGTTCTGGGACCTCTTGGGAGGGGCTTTGGTGCAGGCCAAGGTCAGCATCTCCTTGGGGTCACTTTGTATGACCTACAAAGTGATATGCAGATGACTGCCACTTGTGCTGGGGTTGGAGGTGCCTAGAAAAGGCTAAGCTTCAAATCGAGGTTAGATGCTACTAGTGCCAGGCTTGGGGCTGGTTAGCAAGAGGTACAGAGCACACTGAGACCAGATGATGCTTGTTTTGGCTTTGTAAAGCTTTGAGAGATTTTAGGAAACTCTGTAACACAAGCCAAGACAGGTAATTTGCATGAAAAAGCCACTGGAAGTGTCTTAAATGAGTCCAAAAATTAGGTGAGACAGGTCTCAGGGAATCACCAGGGTGAAGCAAACAGTGTTAGCCAGGTTAATGGAGACTCAGCTATGGTGCCTGCAGACTGGGAAGGGGGAGAGCTCAACAAATGAACAATTTCCCAAATGAAAGAACAGAATAAAACTCCAGAAAAAGAACTAAATGAAATGGAGGCAAGCAATCTACCAGATGCAGAGTTTGAAACACTGGTTATAAGCATGCTCAAGGAACTAAGTGAGAACTTCAACAAAGAGATAGTAAGCCTAAAAAAAGGCACAGAAACCATTAAAAATAAGGAGTCAGAAAAATAAAGTATATAATAAGTAAAATAAAGAATACAATAGAAAGAACCAGCCGATTAGATGAAGCAGAAGGCAAAATCAGGGTAGCAGAAAACACCTAATCAAAACAGCAAAAAAGAAAAAGAATTTTAAAAATAAAAATAGTTTATAGGAGCTTCTAGGACAACATCAAGCACAACAACATTCGTATCACAGGGGTGGCAGAAGGAGAACAGAGAGAGCAAGGAATTGAAAATCTATTTCAAGAAATAATGATGGAAAACTTCCATAACCTGGTGAAGGATATAGATATACAAGTCCAGGAAGGGCAGGGAGTCCCAAACAAGATGAACCCAAAGAGGCCCACATTAAGACACATCATAATTAAAATGCCAAAGGTTAAAACAAAGAGAAAATCTTAAAAGCAGCAAGAGAAAAGCAGTTAATTACCTACAAGGAAGCTCCCATAAGGCTATCAGCTGATTTCTCAACAGAAACTTTGCAGGACAGAAGGGACTGGCTTACACTATGGAAAACAGTATGGAGGTTCCTCAAAAAAACTAAGAATTGATCTACCATATGATCCTTCTACTGGGTATTTACCCTAAAGACTTCAAAACCCATATCCTAAAAGATATTTGTACACCGATGTTCATAGCAACATATATACAATGGAATATTAGCCATAAGAAGAGATGAAATACTGCCATTTGTGACAACATGGATGGACCTCGAGATAATCATGCTGAGCGAAATAAGCCAGATAGAAAAAGTAGAAAATCACATGATATCACTTCTATGTGGGATATAAACCTAAAAGCAACAAATGAACAGGAGAAACAAACAGGGACTCATGGATATGAACAATGGACTAGTGGTTACCAGAGGGTAGGGGAAGAGGGTAGGTAGACAGGAGAAAAAAATTTAAATCATTTCTTGAATTAAAATAATTAATTAGCTAATTAATTAATTAATTTAAAAAAAAGAAATGTTAAATGAAGCCCTTCAGGCTAAAATGAACAGACACTCATCAATAATTCAAAGATGAATGAAGAAATAAAAAACTCTGGTAAAGGTAAATATGAAAGCCAGTATTATTGTACTTTTGGTTTATAACTCTTATTTATCTCTTTTTTTAGAAAAAAATTCATAAAATAATAACCATAAATATTTGTATAAAAATATGTGACAATGATATAAAGAGGGGGGGAGAGAGAGAGGTATAGGAATAGGGTATATAATATTGAAGCTAAACTGGTAATATGCAAACTAGGTTGTTATAGATTTTAGATAATAATTGTAATCCCCAAAGTAACCACTAAGAAAATAACTAAAAAATATAAAGAAAAGGAAAAAAGAGACTCTAAATCATACATTATTAAAAATCAATTAAATATATAAAAGGCAGTGATGAAGGAATTAAAGAACAGAAAACATATAAGACATGCAGATAACAAATAGAAATATGGTAGAAGTAAATCCTTCTTCAGTAATCACATTAAATGTAAATGGCTTAAACTTTCCTATTAAAAGGCAGAGATTGGCAGATTGGATTTTTTAAAAAAACAGGATCCATCTATGTGTAGTCTACAAGATAGTCCTTTTAGATAGAAAAACACGAAGAGGTTGAAAGTAGGAAGATAGAAAAAGATATTCTGTGCAAAGAGTAACAAAAACAGAGCTGGGGTGGCTATATTACCATCAGAGAAAACAGACTTTAAATCAAAAAAGATAACAAGAGACAAAGAGATATAACAATCATAAACATAAATGTACCTTACAGCAGAGCCCTAAAATATATCAAGCAAAAATTGAGACAATGATTGGAAGAAACAGGCAGCTCCTCAATAATAAAAACTTTAATACCCCACTTTCAATAATGGATAGAACAACCAGAGAGAAGATCATAAGGAAATAGAGGACTTAAACAACAGTATAAACCAATTTTACCTATGGACATCTACAGAACACTTCATCTAACAACACAGAATACACATTCTTCTCAAGAGCACAGGAAACATTCTGCAGGATAAACCATATGATAGGCCACAAAACAAATCTCAATAAATTTTAAAAGACTGAAATCATACAAAGTATCTTTTCTAATTACAATGGGAAAAAATTAGAAATCAATAACAAAGGTAATTGAAAACTGAAAAATTCACAAATATCTGGAAATTAAGCAACACATTTTTTTAAAATTAGTTTTAAGTATACAGTACATTGGTTAAACATTTATATTGTTTATAAAACGATCCCCCTAATTGCTCCTTCTCTCTTCTGGCTTTCCACCTAGCCAATATATTAATGCTAACTGCATTCCCTATGCCATACTACTCCCCATCCTTGTGACCATCTATCAACTACTAATTTGTAATCCCTTCCTCCAGCACACCAAACTCCCCTCTCCTTTATCTGTCACTAAATTGTGCTACATATTTGTGAGTCTGTTTTTGATTAGTTCTTTTTGTTCCTTAAATTCTGCATGTAAATGAAATCATATGGTATTTATCTTTCTCTGACTTATTTTTATTATTGACTCAGCATAATAACCTCTAGGTCCATCCATGTTGTTGCAAATGGTAGGATTTCATTTTTTAATGGCTGAGTAATATTCTATTGTATATACGAACCATAACTTCTTTATACAATCATCTAACCAACACACTTTTAAACAACTAATATGTCAAAAAAGAAAACACAGGGAAATAAGAAAATACATTGAGATGAATGAGAACAAAAACACAACATATGAAAATTTATGGGATGATATGAAAGAAGTGTTCATAGAGAAATTTATAGCTCAACTCATACATTAAAAAGAAGAAAGCTTGCAAATCAGTAAACTAACTGTATACCTTAATAAATTAGAAAAGGAGAAAAAACTAAACTCAAAGGTAGCAGAAGTAAGGAACTAATAAAGATTAGAGTAGAGATAAATAAAATAGGAAAAAGAAAAAGAACAGAGAAAATCTTTGAAAAGACCAACCAAATTGATAAATCTTTAGGTAGGTGAACTAAGAAAAAAGAAAAAACTCAAATTACTAAAATCAGAAATAAAAGTTGGGACATTACTCCCCATTTTTCAAAGATAAAAAGAATAATAAGAGAATATCATGAACAACTGTACATCAACAAATTGGATAACCTAGATGAAATGGACAATTTTCCTAGAAATACAATCAAAACACCACAGTACAATATAAAAGTTTTTAAAGAGTACATATATTTATATGTGACATGGGATGTGTGTTTGTATAATAGGGGCTTTACAATAACTCCAGAAGGATATAGGCCAAGGTGATAAAAGTGGTTATCACTGGGTAAGTAGAAATCTAAGTGTTTTTACATGTTTTCGTGCTAATCTTGATTTTCTCAAAATTTTTGTAATAGGCATATACTGCTTTAGTAATAAGAAAACAGTAACATAAGAAACTTCATCTGAACAGAAAAACAGAAAATTGATGCTTATCCCAGGGGAAATTACATTTATGTGAACAAACTGACTTTCTTTTACTTATATCTAAATTGTTTTTGCAAATCAGGTATGAGAACCATTGCTACATACCGTCTGGCTAGCTCCTCTGGCATTCGCTTTGGAACCAAGGCTTTGTCCAGCTGAATCTCCAACACGATGTATGTCCTGGCTTCTACATATTGCTGTAAAGACATTTTTCTCTAATTTATTCTTTTCAGAAAAAGATATTTATGAAAAAATTTTAGTAACATAAGATAATGCTCACAATATAAATGAGAAAACTGCATATACTACTATACACATAATGTGATCTTGACTGTTGAACTATTTTTTTCATAGAAAAACAACTAGAAAGAAAAATAGCAAGAGAGGTTACATCTTGCAGAAAAGAGTTTTCAATTTTATTCTGGGAGACTTTTACCCCAGCTGAAGCCCTATTAACTTGTTCAATACTTTTCTTGGAACTGTTTTAAGTGAATGCCATTATTTCTTCCACTAACA